ATCCGCCAATATGCCTGTTCCTACCTACAACGCTAAGCCTTTGAGCCTTATGCTCCTGGGCACTCGCGTCCTCCAGTCTATCTGTATGATCCTCGTCATCGGCATCTGCTCCAATTTTGTCCAGATGATTGTTACCACTGGTGTTGAGCCGCCGAAGGAGTTTGTTGGCACCCTCAGTGTGGTATGTACCAAAACATTATGTTTCCAGCATTGTACTAACACAAGTAGGCCTGCATCGCTACCCTATACATCATGGTCAGCATTGGCTACTACTGGTCCCAAGCCAACCTCGGCCTTCTCGTCATGGCTGGTGTCGACTCTCTTCTTCTCATCGCCTTCATCGTCTGCGCAGTCACTCTTGGAAAGCCCATGTCTTTCCTTAACTGCTATGTCATTGGAAAGACTTCCGCTGAGATCGATGCTATGTACGCCAATGCTTTCGTCACTGCAGCAGTGGAGAACCTTAACAAGTCTGCCTCAAGCCTGGGCCATTGGGCTGGTGTCACTCGCAGCAACTGCTTCCAGGCCAAGACTGTCTGGGGCATGACGATCGCGCTTTGGTAAGTCTATCGACTCTAATACTGTTTCTGGGCATTACTGACTTGGCTTAGCATTCTATTCACTGTCTCCAGCGCTCTTCTGCCTACCCTCTGGTACAAGAACAACATGAAGAAGCCGGCCAAGACTGTCGAGGATGCCTAAACGAGATAATGATTGATGTCGCCATGTTGAGTCAACGCAACGATCAATAGGAGGAACTGTCTAAAACAAGTGACTGCAGCCAGTCTCACATCCTCTGCCCCTTTTCTTATCTGTCAAAATCACAAAAACAGTATGCATCGCGATGGAGTTTGGAGTTATCTTTCGTCGTCAAATTCTTTTCTGTCCGGACATTGAATGTCCCTAATCCCTAATGGATATTTTTGGGCCTCGCTGCTCACATAAAACAAATTACATCATTTTTGTCTTTAACATGCGTTTTTTTATGTGACTCATTTCTGCGGTGCGCTGTTCTGCCTCTGCCTTGCCCTTTACCAGTCTGAGGACTGTGTTCCTGTTTCATCATCCTCATTCACTTCGATCTTTCACACACACTCCGACTGACTTCTTCACAGTCATAGAATACTCATGTGGTACTGCCATATGTAGAAATAGGTTGAGACACGACTTTCACTCACGAAACAAAGCTTGGAAGCGTTTGCAGTACAGCTAGTGCCAACTATGATCATTCAATTACGCTTTCACGTCTAAAATTCTATTCATGTGAACAAGCAACAGTATGAATCGATTGTAAGAACAGCAGATACACTTCTCTGGCGTTCTACCCTCTCCGCTCTCCATATAAGAAACACCAATACCACGTCGATCTTATTTTCTCCACCAAGGGACACTACTCAGATAACACTACATATATAGCCCCACAAAATCTCACGCCACACCTGATAAACATCTACAGAATGTGCAAACGCTACCCTCTCGAATGCGCGATGCCCAACTGCCTCAACACCATCCCCCCACACTACATCTGGGGCGAGAGCTGCTATCAAGCCACAACCCATGACAGAGGAGTAAAGCGGCACTACATTCCAGGTGTCAAGCCCTCGGGATACTGTGGTTTCACACAGGTGATGGAGCCGTACAAGCATCCGTATATGTTGTGTGAGTTTCATTACAAGCAGCGGAACAGGGAGGAAGAGGAGAGGAAGAAAAAGAAAGAGGAAGAGGAGGAATCAAAGAAGAAGGAGTTGAAAGACAGGGAGAGGGAGGGGATACCGAGGGGCATGGGTCACTTGATTGACTGAGTATTGGGGATCTGCAGAGAAAGAAGGCGATCTGGGAGAGATGTGTTTCATTTTGATATTCTAACAGAGGCCTATTTGTGTATTTCATGTATTGGAACCAAAACAACTGAGTTTTCATGCGAGATACATGAGTCTAGGGAAGCTGAGATAAGCAGCCAGGCATAATTGTAGGAATAGAATGGCCTATTTGAGATATTGTTGATATAAACGTCCTCGCTTGATATAAGCCACGGCAGAAGGCAAACTGAACCTCATTTTACAGCAGCCTTTCGGCAAAACCTGCCTAACTGCGGTCAATATATCTATCTCAGTTCTTTCAGTCTAGGTGGAGCGTACTTCTCGCCTGCAAGGTTAATCTAGCGGGCTCAACTTACCCCGCACCTCAGGAGAGGTCGATAAATCTCGTCTGATATGTTGTGTAACCTGAGATGCATCATCATTCGCCATGTGGCCCTACACCATTGGACTGGAGGAAAATCCTTCGGCTGCACAAAATAGAGGTACTATTATGCTACCTGTTATTAATAGACTGTACTCAGCGCTTTCAATATCCACGTTCACTGTGGTGAATCATTGTCCATACTTCCGTAGAATGAATAGAAGATTGTAATCATCCATACCGTAACATGTTGTGCGATCTCTGCGAGTGCGGATTTACCAGCAAGAAAGCATACGCACAGCACTGCGGACGCTCGCCAGTACACAAGAACAGGCCCGAGTGTGAGATTTGCGATTAAGACTTTGAGATTTGTCGTCGTCGCTTTGATGGCCTCGAAGCAGAGAAGTAACATCAACGAGGCTTTCATATGATTAAAGAGACGTTTCATTGTAATTTTTGCAAGATCGGTTACATCAGCAAAGGTGCGCTTAAGCAACACGAGCAAAAATCTTTCAAGCATGAGTACAAGTTCCCATGCTACACTTGCCGTCGCTTTTTCGTCAGCGTGGAAAAGCGCGAACAGCATGAAAGAGAGTCGCCTGTGCATAGGAACTCCCAATATCGGTTCCCGCAATAAGGACACATTTTTAAAATCTGAGGAAGAGTTACTCGTGAATAACAAGAGCTTCAAATGCGATATTTGAAATCGTAGTTCTAGAAGCAAGGTGACATGCAAGCAGCATTGAGACTCTCCCCATCCCCATCTCTCACGAACCACTCAACCCCCTTGACAAAGTTCCTTCTCAACCAACGCCCAACTCCTTTAAAACCTCAAAGCGCCTTCCACACCCTATCATGTCAGCAGCTTGAAATACGGTACTGGCGACCGTGACGCACAGTATGCACCTGGCAAGGAAAAAGTGAGCGAAAAAGTGCTGCTGGATAAGTGCGGTGCGAAGTAAGCTACGATATCACGTTGGCTTCATTGTAGTCATGATTTGATAGAACCAAGAGATTTCCATGTCTATGTTCTGGAATACTTACCCGTTGCGATAGTTGAAAGTGCTGGTTGCCACAAGTGTCAGGACCCTGAGCTGAATGGCTTCGATACCCCGCTAGACCCCACACGTGCTTTGCCAAATTCACCACTAAGCCCAACGCTCTGACCTGCAGCTTGATCTCGGATTGCAAAGTCACAACCAAACAACCAGACAACCTGTCAATATGGTGTACTACTTCTCGTCGAATACCGTGTCTCCGTCGGCCTTTATTTACGTCGGCAAAGACAAAGTCGAAAGTAAGAAGCTAGACTACCTCAGTTTTTGACATGGCCACACTACCTTGCTTGTCACCTGGCCGTTGGACTAGGAATTGCATGCTAATCCTGCAATAGATGAAGAGCTGATCAAGTACGGCTGGGACGAGGATGTGTGGTTCCACGTTGACAATCTTTCCTCGGCTCACATCTACGTCCGGCTACCAGAGGGCGAGGACTGGGAAAAGATGAACAAGGAATTATTAATCGACTGTGCGCAGTTGACAAAGGCGAACAGTATCGAAGGCAACAAGAAAGACAATATCACTATTGTGTACACGCCGTGGAGTAACTTGAAGAAGGATGGCAGCATGGCTGTGGGACAGGTCGGGTTCAAGGATCAGCGCAAGGTGAGTATTCTGTGCTTGTGTAGTTAACATGCTAATTTGCCGGGCTAGGTCAAGCGCATACATGTTGAGCAGAGAGAGAACGCCATTGTCAACCGCCTGAACAAGACCAAGGTTGAAAAGTTCCCTGATTTGCGCGAAGAGCGAGAAGCGAGGCGTGCCGAGTTGAGGAAGCGGGAGCAGGGTGCAATGCAGGCAAAGGTACTTGAATTTCTTTTTTTGGGGGGATTGCCTCGGTTCATGTTCTCACTATCTTTACTTTGGCTTGGCCTCGCTTTCATAACGCCATCATCTCTTTTACAACAAAACTAATCTTATGCAGAGGAAAGAGGAAGCGCGCGTTGCTAAAGAGCGCAAGGAGCTCGCTTGGCGGAGAGACCACGCCTATGACGATGTCATGACTGAGGAGCATCTCGAGGAAAGTAGCAATCAGAACCGCGACGAGAACTTCCTTGACGACTTCATGTGAGGCTCCCTTAATGCTCACGCGATCATGGTCTAGTGCAGGTGCGCGGCAGAAGGACGCTTTCCGAGGGCTTCGAGGCAGCGGTACCATTTGTTGCCTCATCTAGGATCGCGAAGGGTCATTGCTGGCAGGCAAAGCCCCATGCTTTCGTTCAACATACAGATGTTGTGATTGAAGACATCGTATGCAGTCGTCTTGATCTCGAGTTCATCGCGGGTTCTGGCATGTCAGCCTCACTGTGTTGGGCACTGAGCGAGGCACGGGTACATACAGAGTCTTTGCTTTGTGCTTCCCGTGGCCTCCATGGCTCTGCAACCACCATACAAACAACAAGTTCTTCACTATCTTGTGCTCCAGGCCGTTTTCTCTCGTGGCATACTGAAGAAATTCCAGCGTGTTGTGCACTTTCTGGGGCTCAAAGTCAGAGGCACTGCCGCGACGGAACGCCAGACGGAGGCGGTCACGCAGCGTGTATCGGGCTGGCTTGGAGAACTGAATAGCCCGCAGACTATGCCGATACAGGTGCCTATACGCGTGTATGACTTGCTGTTGTGACATGGTGGCCGGGGCACTAACGACGTCACGCCTCACTTCTGCAAAGCGCCATGGTTGGGCGTCGGAGAAAGGTGGCACCGGCGCCCCGTAGCCGCCTGCGTGGCACAAACCTGGTTCGATCCTCTCTTCCTTCTTCACACCACACCACTCAACGCCCCGCCTGTGCCTTTGCATCCACTGGGCTTGTAGATACAAATCCCGCGTCTTGGACCTTTGCGCGCCGTTGTGACTGCCTCGTTTTTCGTATTCATCGCTAATCCCGCAGCATCAGGCTCCGTAGCTGGAAACAAAAAGCCTAGCCACAGGAGCACTTTACTCTTCCACGGACCGCTGCGTCTCTATGATTTGCCTTGCACACCAGCGTCATGACCAGAGTATATCATCCGCGGCCGCAATATGCGCCACAGCGCAGCGGCACCCTTGAGCAGCCGCGAGCCGTCGCCAAAAAGAAGAAGCCTTACAAGATTGTGCTCGAAGCGGTAACGCAGGAAAAGAAGAAACTGCACTCGATCGTCCGTCTGCGATGCGCCATCGATGCACCGACAGTTTACTAACGCGAGTGTAGTTGACGTATGCATCCAACGCGCCCACTGGCTTCGGCTTCATACCCGCTGGACATCCAGAGTTCACGGAATGGTGCAAGGAGCAGTGTCGCCAGCGCAACCTCGACGTACACATTGTTTCGGTAGGCGTTGCAACAAACTCCAGCCGGCCGGGAGTAGCTGACAACCCCCCAAGGCCAAACCCAAGAACAAGATGCATTCCGATCCCGAGAAATTATCTCATCATGTCCACCGAGTCGGACACCATTTTCCTTTGCAGATCATCGACCTTGCCTGTAGCAAGTTCGGCTATACGTATGATGAAAGCCAGGGCCTTCAGAAAGCCAAGGATGGTGACAGGACCAACTGGATTGCCCGGCGCTTCGAGGACTACTCTTCACGCCAAGTTAAACAAGGACGTCCCACGACGGAAAAGGAGACCAAAGGCTACATCCATGGTGCCGTTCGCGAAATGTTTCCCAAAATCCCTGACGATGATTTGCAAGCCATTGTTACCCATGCCTTTGAGGAGGGGACAAACCGGGTAGGTAATGCCAAGGAACTTTCCTTGGCTCGTAGAGTGCAGCTTGCTGTTGTCGCCCATATTCGCCATACGTATACAGATTACGACAAGCTGCTCAAAAGCGGCGGTTGGATGGAGGCTCGGTCCAAGGTTGAGAGTGTCTCCCTTGCCAAACTCAAAGAGTGGCGCGACGAAGCCGATGAGCAAAGCAATGAGCTCGAAGAAACCTTCCGTGAGGTCATTGTTCTTGATGATGACGATGAACCAAGCAGCGAACGCCATTCCACGTCTACGCCTGATGAACGTGAGCAGAGCATGGAAATTGTTTCTAGTCGTGCTACTGCGCACGATTTGCAACCCGAACTTCATGCTAACTACCCTCGTAATGATATGAGAGGTGGAGCAAGAAGAACAATTGTTCTTCCGCGATACCTTCCACCGCGATCAGGTCCATTGCCTGGCTCTTCACACCCCCAGCCATTCCCTCAGCTGCCACCTCCACCTATGCACGCAACACTAAACTCTGAATCACGCCTAGGACACCATGGCGAAGCATATCGCTATGGCACACACAATCTGAATGACAAGTAAGGAGTGGTGACATGTTGACTTCCCAGCACCACTAACCACCACAGACGAGCAAGGCCAGCTGAGTCTGGCTCAAGCCAAAGGGCCGAGCCCATTTTGCACGAAATCGACGGCCAATTGTACAAAGTGAGTCTTGAATAGGTCACGTCTCGTGAACACAACACGATCGTATTCGTTCTTCATTTTTGAAATTGAGCTAACACCCGTAGCTTCAACCCATTAAGGAGCCACAAGATGATTCAATGATGCGGTATGATCTCCCTCCATCGCGACGCATACAAGGCATGTATTCGCGTCCTGCATCCCCTCGATTTAGTGTGCAGGAAAGACCGCCCACGAGCACAAGACGCATGCCAGATCACGATCTTGTACTCCCTTCTGTTGAGCGTGAAACAGTTGATCTGACATCACCACCACGCCGTAATACAAACGCACATCATCCAGTACAGGATCACAACATGCTAGACATGCACTACACCCAGGTACAGTCACCGAAGCGTAAGGCGCCGAATACTTTCGCGGACGAAAGAGACACCCAAGCAGACCAACAGTCGAAACGTTCAAGGCCTATGTATCGTGAAGAACTCCACCCCAGAGCCTACCAAGGTGGGCCACTTGAGTTTCATTCAAGTCAGCCAATGGGTCCTCTTCACAGTGCTCCACGACCACCGCCTCCAGAGCATGTCGTTGATTTAATAAACAGCCCATATGGTCCGCCTACCAATAATGTCAGAGGTCACTATGAACCTCCACGACCCACTGCAGATGTTGATCCTCGTGGATACGTATACGCTCCTCCAGTGACGCATCGACAGCCTGCGCGCGATGTGAGAGAACCTCATTATCAGGTACCGGCTGGCGCACCTTGTCGTACTTACGTGCCCAATGCCAGGGCGTATGACAGCCGCGATCCAGCCCGTGACTATATCTCGTTGCGAGATGGGCGTCAGATACCTCGATTCGAGGAAGAGAGCCTGCGATACATGAGAACCGGAGTTCGATATGGTGCTTAGGATGCTTTGATTTGCAATCAGCATAGTGGGCGGAGTTTTTGGTTTTTCCTACGGACGATACCCCCTGGCGTCTTTTTTCTTTGTTATGCATCTCAGAGAGCATTTGTTTCTCGTATTTCGCTTGTCGCATGCTAGTCTGCATCTTTGGCGTCTTGTTATCAGTGCATAGCATGGTGAGGATCTGTTTCATCGAACATCATCATCAAAGGATGTGTTTGTGGCGATGCCGCTGGACAAAGAGGAGGCATCTAGCACAGATCTTGGTCGACAAGGCCGAGGTTCTTCTGGACGGAGGAATATGGCTAGATAGGTAGAGATGAAAAGTACCAAAAGGCACCTTGAACACGATAACTGTACATGTCACATTGATGATCTATTTGCTATGTCTAGTGCCTATTCCCGTATGAAGCTCGCACTTCGATCCGTCTTAGGCCTACTTGTGCATCTGTGCATACTTTTCTACAACGTTGTCGACCACCTTCTTGACCTCGGCCGCATCCAGCTTTTCCTTCCTGTCTGGTGTGTACACACCATTGACCTCTTGCTCGATATCTGTAAGCTGCGTATATACGAACCCACAGCAATGACCTCCATTCACTATTCCCACCATCATCTTCTCAATGCGCTTAAGCAAATCCTTGGGATCCGACGCAGTCGTGTAACCCCAATCCCTCTTCCTATCCTCTTCCCCATCTCCACCGCCAGCAGCAGCAGCCTCGCGCGCAATATTCACTCCCCCAAACTCCGTACAGATCACAGGCGCACCAGGCGTGTGCTTCGACCCCGGATCCCCCAGCCCTTCAATCGGCGCCAGGAACGTCGGCCGGTTTGATTTTTTCTTCATAATAGCATCGAGCGATGCACACGTGGCCGTCAGCTCCTCGGCATCAGCATAGTCATGGAACGTAGTCAGATCGGTAACCACGTGTTCCCAGCCGCAGTTATCATTGATGGGTCTTGTTGGATCGAGCACTTTGGTCGCATAGTACAAGCTTCTGATGTGGTCTCTCTGCTTCTTACTCGTGTGCAAATCCGTGTATGCCCACGACTCGTTGACAGGCGTCCAGGCCACGACGCAGGGGTGGTTGCGATCGCGGAGTACGGCTTCGCGCCACTCTTGATCCATGCGCTCGACATAGGCCTCGGAGAAGGCGTATGCGTTTGCCATTTCGCCCCACACGAGGAAGCCGAGGCGGTCGGCATAGTAGTGAAAGAGGGGGTCTTCGACTTTTTGGTGCTTGCGGCAGCCGTTGAAGCCCATTTTCTTGCTGAGCTCGATGTCGTGTTTGAGGGCGGAGGGTGTGGGGGGTGTCATGAAGGTTTCCGGCCAGTAGCCTTGGTCGAGGAAGAGGGCTTGGAAGTAAGGACGGTTGTTCAGGCGGAAGGTCGAGTTGTCCCAGTGGAGGGAGCGCATGCCGGTCGTTGTGTGGATCGTGTCGATGGGGGTGTTGTTTGAAGAATTGTAGAGACGGATGGTTAAGTCGTAAAGGGTTGGGTAGTCGGGAGACCACAAGGCTAGGTTGTTGAGCCAGGCTTTGGGGTCGGAGAGTGGAGTAGTAGATTTGAGGTTTTGTGGTAGCTGTGATACCTGGGCGTCGGTCAAACGCATACTCGTCTTCAGAGCGACTGTGTCTGAGTCGTGGGGCAAGACAGTCTTTTCAGTCTTGCTGATTAGAACACCGCATAGGCTGGCTTCGAGTTCCACGCTATAGTCGTGGCCCGCTAGTCTTCCAAGAACCTTGATGTTGGCTTCCAAATTTCCGCCTTCGATATCGTTGCTTTTAAGCAGTGTGCCTGCACTCGCATCTCCCAATCTTACAGCGGGAACCGATTCCAGCCACACGTTTTGCCAGATGCCTCCGCTGGGCGTGTAGAAGATACTTTCGGGCTGTGCCTTCCAGTACTGCTTTCCACGGGGCTGTGTCAAATCGTGAGCGGAATCGAAAACTCGCACCGTCAGCCTCTGCGTCTTCCCATGTGCAAAAGCATCCGTAATGTCAATATCGAACGGTACGTGTCCACCACGATGACCACCGAAAAAGCTACCATTAACCCAAATTTTGGCTTCATAATCGACAGCCCCAAATCTGATGATAACACGGTCTCCAGCAATCTTGCCCTGTTCAGATCTTGGGTCCTCGATCATCCTTTCATACCACAGCACCTCGTGCACGCCCTTCTCGTTGATACCCGAAGCCGGACATTGGAATACAAATGGGACTTGGATGTCTCTTTTCTCATGCACAGTGTGTTCGTTTTGGAACTTGTTACCTTGAAGGAGCTCCTGAGTACCAGCAGCAATCTTGGCCGTGATACTGTGCGCCTCGGCGTTCTCGGCATTATTGGTGTTGGTGGGGTTCACGGTGATCTTGTCTGGTAGTTGGGTCAAGTGCCATCCCTGGCTGAGACCAACGTCATTGTCATCGAAAAGGAATGACCATGCACCGTTTAGGGATTCCCATGATAGATCCTCGCGGAGGAAGTCTGGACGAGGGTACGCAGGCGGGGGTGTGGGAGGCATACTGATGTCGTGAATTTGAGTCTTGATGAAATTAGGATGAAGTGTTATCTCCGATTGAGGGAGCTGTATATGTAAAAGTTAGCATGCACGTGAGATTCGACGCAGTAAGGTGGAGGTGTGGGGAGGATACACTGGGCCCAACACGTACCACGCTCGTTTAGGACTAGGGTGGGTTGGATTACATCTTCCCCGCCCGCAATCTTCTACACGCCTAAGCTTCTCTTAGGCTCAGAAGAACACAGTAATGCATATTACCGAATTCATTATACTGAATTGCTTAAAGTCAACTAGGTATAGCATCATGACAAGCAACCGAGAGTACTGGGAATGTTAGTCTAGAAGCCCCCACTCTAAGAGTATTCATGGTGGCTGTTCAAGAGATATTAGAGTCGTCGAGATCTTCCAATTACTAGAAAATTCGTGATGGTCATAATTGCGCTAATCATGGAACCTGGACGATACAAAAATGTGCATGGTATTACATAAAAATGAAGAGCTGTTATTTCATAGTCCAGCAAGCAATTGCTCAAGATCGCTGGGCTTTCTCAACCCATTTTTAGTCCAAAGGCCAGTACTCATGTATTCCCTTCTGATTTTTCCATCGCATGAAATAACAGCAGAAAGGAAAAAACAATGTATTCACTGCTCCCCATGCGATTAGAATGCCAAAGTCCAGACCAAGACGCGAGTGTAGGTCGAACAGAATCGAGCGACTTCCTTCGACAACTGTCGCACATGTTAGCTTCGACGAATCGCCATCTAGACAGGAAAAAAGCAGGAGAATAAACGAGAACAATGGAAACTTACTTGAATGCAGCGGCCACACATATCCCCACCTATAAAATGCCGGCGCAATCTCAATGTCGTAGAACGAAGTAGAAACATTCGTGATAACCCAGAAGATCAGGAATAGGCCCATCCACGGCATACCCACAACCATAGCAACATTCTCACACGCCAGACCCAGCGCAATCATACCGAGAAAGTTCAGCATCCAGTACACAACGAACGTTGCGTGTCCAAAAGCAACTGGGTTGCCTTCGCTCTCGACGGTAGCCTGTGTATGACTAGTTATCGAGTTGGTGTGGAAAAAATTGATTTGAAAAGCCATGCTGACGAACGAATAAGCGAGGGAGAGCATGAAGTACGCCGAGATAGTAGCACACCAGCGCCAGATAATTAGCTGGAAGAATTTCAGCGGCGGGTGGTTAGTAGGCGTGACGTATTGCATGTGGATGGGCATGTAGAAGGAAAAGCTGAAGAAGGATATGATGATGAGGTCTATCATTTTCTGATCAGCATTCCACTGTTTTTTTTTCTTAAAAAAAGAAGGATGTATTGGGGCGTAAAATACTTACAAATGAGTCCTATAGAAACAGCAGGGATGCTAGTATAAGGGAAAAAGGGCCTAAGATTGAATTCAGAAAATCCGATTGCAGGGTTGATTGCTTGCGGCACGCTTTGCATGTTCGATAGGATAGATGAGTCGCTGGCGTTTTGAAGTACCATCTGCGCCCACTGTCTGCCGACCATGCTCTGCGCTTCCGTCATGAAGGCACTGATGAGTGGCAGCATGAAATCGTACCAGTTCGTGTCGTCTCTCGAATCCTGGTAGATCAATTGGCAAGCTCCAAGGGGTTCGTAAGATGAGTTTCCGTTCGCAATGGCAGAGTACAGCAGAGCGCTAGCATTCGGATTGATGATAATGGCGGCCCAGGCATCCCACTCGTACACTGCCTCCCGAACACGCATTGGATCATTGTTGAAGTCTGAGGCTGGACGGATCCCCCATCCTAGTGTTGGCTGGCCACTACTTAACTGTTGTTGAACAAGTTGTGTGATGGTCGGTCCGACAAATGGCGCATTCCCAGTATTATCGTAGGGTGCAGCGCCATCCATGTCTACAACATAGACCAGCAAGTGATCGAGTCTTTGCTCCACTTGGAAGAAGACGCCCCAGTATATCGATAGAACAGCGAGAATGAATGCCATGAGAAACGCAGTTGTAATGATCCATTTCGCAAATGCGCGATTGCGGACTTGTCGAAGATCTGGGTGCCAGAAGCCTACCGGCTCCTTGTTAGGCTCTTGGGATTTCTTTTCATTTTCCACTTCAGTTGGCGCGGTTTTTCCGCGCCCGGTTTCTGGGTGACCGTTTGTGCCCTCTTCCGCGTTGATCTGCGCTGGGGGGCGAAACGCGCGTGGTAATCGCATCGATGGCATGGTAAAGAGGTGACAACAAAGGCAACTAGCCAACAACCGATATTAGACTTTTTTGCGCAAGAGAAGATTGCGGGCTGCCAAGAAACGAAGAAGCTTGTTGTCACTTGGAAAATGCATGGCGATGGGCTATTGCTTTTATTATGGGTGCTCGTCAGACGAGTCGATTCTGAACGATATGAAATCTATGACGTACGTAGAAGCAGAATTCGTATCAATGTTTCGATGACGTTCTGAATCTGCCAGATCCTAGCTCATTGCTTAGCTCCGCACATAAGGAAATCGAGGTCTAGCTCTGCGCCACTAGTGCTCTCGAACGAACGGACTAAGATGATTACCAACCGTGTCTGCCATGTGTACATAGTGGCAGTGATTTCTAGTACTAATTGTCCAGCTATCACTGCATTCGGTGATACGTTCCGTACCATCTGATTTTCTTTTCTGTTTCGTGACTGAAAGATTGATTGGTATATTCTAACTAGGGTTTGCTCACTCTTGAGAGTGTATACGTAGGGATTCTCTCTTCCATCGTACAATTTCTGCATCATTCGTTCATCATTCATCAAGCCGCTCAAAACATGCCTGTCGAGCCGGACATCGTCAATTTGGTGGTCTTGGATATCTCCCCCCACAATTTCGCATGACAAAGGAAAAACAAAAGGGTATTGTGCTCATTAAAGGGGTATAGGGTATATCGCGAAGCAAAACGCCACGCCTTTCAGTTTGTCGTCCATCGTCCATGGTTACTTCCTCGTTCTCTTCAATCTAGTCGTAGTAATCTTCGTTGTGTTTGTGCTCATGTCGTGTCTGTCTCGTGTGTACGCTCGTATCATATTTGTCATTCAAAGATCGGGGTCTTCCTCTGTTAAAGTCTCTGGTCCTGAGAGGCACTCACTCAACTGCATCATCCTGTTCCTGCAGTGAATGAGGAAGATGGCGATGGCAAGTGAGTTCCAGACATCGTATCCTTCTTTGCTGAAGTCAAACATAGCGATCAGTCGAAGTTGGGGCTGATCCCTATCGTTGTTGCCGGGAGCATAGCTGACGAATGCCATGACGGAATGCGATGCTGTGATTCCGTAGAGTGTGGGCACTTCCGGTACAACAGAGTCTCCACGTTGCTCAGCCTCGCCGATTTTCAAAGCATCGTACCATAGATCGTGCAGGCGGCCAAGCTTCTCAAGCATTTTCTCCTCACCTACACTCGGGTGTACATGTCGAGAGAAAGTGACAGTCTGAAACAGTGGGAGTTGAGACCAAAGATGATCAACTTTACCGTCTTTCATTGCCCACTTGGTGAACGCTTTCACTGCCTTACCGATCTGGAATGCCGGGGTCCGCTTCGCTCGCGTGTGCCAGGCATCTCGCACGAAACCTCCAAGATCGAAGAGCTTGTTGAGAGCATGTTGTGCTTTATGGTGTTAGTAGAGGCAATCGCGACTATCGGAAATTCGAGTACGTACCACCGTATTCTGTGCCGAAGGCGGGTTTTATGAAGGCCTTGTCAAGATTTTCGGTAAAAAGGTCTTCGGGAAGAGTTTCGAAATCGTTGATCCACCCAATGGGGAGGAGAGGCTCGAAGCCGCGCATCCCTAGCTTCTGAAAAAGAAATACCGCGTCCTCGGACCAGCCAGAATCGCGTAGTTCCTGGCCCTGCTGATCTCTTCTCCTTCGCTCTTCTTGAGCGTTGATGTTCTTTTGCTGATCCATGTATGTTCCGTCGTCCACTACCATGGTCTCCTCGTTGGCGTCCCACTCGTCCAGAGAGGAGCCCTCTGCTCTCTTACCGGGCGTAATGGGCGACAAAGGCAACAGCGTATCACCCTCTAGGTCATCGGAGAGCATGGCCGAAGCGGGCGGAGAGGGAGGCAAAAGTGTCGCATCGATGTCGCATTGAGGACTTGGTGAGCGTGAGTCTCGAATCTTGACTGGCGCATCCGAGCTTTTCTCCGTTATCACGGGTTGGGGAGCCTTTTGATGAGCATCTGTGGTTCGAGTAGGTACCGCAGGCTTCTTGAAGGCGTAGGGCTTGTCTCGCCGTTGCTGAGTCTTACGCGGGTTCATATAACTCCAGATGCGGTCAGACACCCCGCGAAGGAAGGCCATGACGAAAGACGGAGACTATTTTCGACGCGCACGAGCGTGTTTTCGCAAAAAGGTGCTCGGACTAGAACGAAAATCTGGGTTGAGCGGGGATCGAGGTGTTCAATTGTCGTCGTGAGGGCGTGTTGCGGTGAAGGCGATGGTGATGGTGAAGTGGACAGGTGCACCTTTGAGGCAAGACACAAACGATGTCTTTGTTTCCTTTTTTTCTTGTAGGTGACCTTTCACCACGACTTGTCAAAGACACCGCGAGCGAGGACGAAGAGTCATTGTGAAAAGAGGGCTGGGGGCTTATGTCCTGCATAATGCAGGAACAAGGACTCGCTGCCACGCTGTCACATGCGGGCTAAGCTATAAGAGGCTAGAATTTATTTTGGCCTGCAGGGTGCGGTGAGGATCTTATCAGATGAACTTTTAACCCCACCAAATCTTTAAACCCCACCAAAAAAGAGTTGAGCCGCGTCTGGAGGCGATCCTCTGTTCCTGTCTTCTGTCACTCAACACCCTATTATCTAATCAACAACATGGCTGTCACAGAACAAGACACACAGGTCGTAACCCTGCGCAAGATCCTCACATCGGAATCGGAGCCACTCGCCCGACGATTCCGTGCTCTCTTTTCTTTGAAGTACCTAGCAGGACTGAACCCGCCCACCGAACAAACAGTCCCCGCAATCGAAGCCATTGGCGCCGCTTTCTCTTCGCCGTCTGCTCTTCTGAAGCATGAACTTGCCTACTGCCTGGGTCAATCTGGCCATGATGCTGCTATTGCGCCGCTGAGGGCTGTGTTGCAAGACAAGAAGGAAGACTCCATGTGCAGGCACGAGGCTGCGGAGGCACTCGGTGCATTGAGCGACAAGGGCAGTTTGGATCTACTGAAGCAGTTGAGAGATGATGCCCAAGAGGTCGACGTTGTGCGGGAAACTTGTGATATTGCCGTCGATCGCATCGAATGGGATCATGGGCTACAGAAGGGGCAAGAGAAACTGAAGAAGAGGTATGTGTGGAAAGAGTTTCAGGCTATGTTGTATATGCTAAGCACTGTACAGTGATTTCACGTCAATCGACCCTGCGCCGCCGCTACCACAGGGCACCGAAAAGCCATCGATATCAGAACTTGAAAAGACACTACTCGACACATCCTTGCCTTTGTTCCAGCGGTACCGGGCCATGTTCGCGCTACGCGATCTTTCCTCGCCACCCGATCTCCCAACTGCTATCCCTGCTGTACAAGCGCTCGCCCGCGGTTTCAGCGATCCGTCTGCTCTCTTCCGCCATGAAATCGCATTCGTTTTCGGACAGCTGTCACATCCCGCGTCGATTCCTAGCCTGACAGAGGCACTGAGTAACACAAACGAGGCTAGTATGGTCCGCCATGAAGCTGCAGAGGCACTGGGCAGTTTGGGTGACGAGGAAGGCGTCGAGGAAACTTTGCGCAAATTCTTGAATGACCCAGAACAGGTTGTACGAGACAGTGTAATTGTTGCGCTGGATATGGCAGAGTTCGAGAAGAATGGGGAGATGGAGTACGCAATTGTGCCACAGGTTGCTGCGGCTTAGAAGCATGTTGCATGAGCATGGCGTTTGGGTTAAATAAAGTTCAACGAGGCCATTGTACTTGTACAGCCCAATTCAGTTGTTCGTGTTCCACCTGTAAGATAACTATCAGTACGAGTTTGAGTTTGAGGGCGATCGCGCAAACATACTTGTGACCGCAATCACACTCATAGAAGACAGTGGTTCCCTCGTCTGCACTTCGCAGTTGTTGAGTGTAGTATCGCACTTGCTCTCTTCCACATTTTTCGCATGGGTGGTTGATTATACTGGTGGTTTGTACGTCTTCCTCCGAAATGGTCTGCACCTCGGATCTCTTCGCACGCAGAGAAGAAGGAAAAGCAGTAGGCTTGGAAACAGTAACGACAGTCTTTGAGGACGTATCTTTATTTTGCGCACCACAGACACCGCATGTCAGGACTATGTTCTGTTGTTGCTTCCCAACAGAACCGTCCAGCAAGTTACCGCAATCTGTGCAAAAGACAAGAGATCCTATATAATTTATCAGCAAATGTCCCAAATTTTGTCTACAAGTGGAGCATTACTAACCAATAGCTGACATGGTGGGCAGTGTATTGTCGTGAAGATGATGAGCGTGGAGATGGAAAAAAGTTACGGGAATCGCGACTCCCGCGGCTGCGCCAAGCTAGTCCGAAAATGGTAGGCGGTCAGAACGCGTCCGACTGTCAGGACGATTCGATCATAGGTACTTTCACCCCGAAGCCGCCACAACGTAGCAGACAACAGAGCGCATCGCTCGCGTGAAGGATCAGAGGAGGGCAAAAGGATCGCATCATCAGACGATGCACGCTGAGACGTTGAAATAGCGATTGTTCGACTCCGCCCCCAGAACATACACTGTCGGCGCCTACTCTACGGTTGTTTGCTCCTCCGACTCCTCAGCCCATCAAGCGCGACCGCAATGAATGGAGATTGGCACAACGTCAACGGTGGGGGGCTCCCATTCCGGAGACCTCCTCCCACTGTTGACGATGCTCTCCCATATTCGCCTTTTACCTCGATTATCCCATTCTCACCGGGTCAGTCGCTCTCCCTCACCTGCCCATCTTGGATGCGCCAGACTCTCTCACTCATCATGGCAGAAGACTGATGAATAGATAGATATAATACCTTTCCCTACGGCCGAGCCTCCAACTCCGCCGACAACCTTGACTCCAGATCAACAAAAGGCCGCGAAGAAAGCCGTGGGCATCTTGAACGACGAAATCGAGGGCCAGTCTACTGCGCAACACCTACACGATACCTTGAAGCAGCTCCGCAATCTTCTCCATCGGGACAAACTACCAGAGTAGTGAGTGTTCTCTGGGTTTTGACTGAGAAGCATTCACTAACGGTCATAGCCATTTCAAACCCATGCCGCAGTTAGCGACGCCTCCTCCAGACAGTCCTGGCAAAGGCACAAATGGAGAATCTTCAGGGTATACGCCCGCGCTTAGCCCATTTGCGCGCATGTTGCTGAAACAAACGGATGTTACGTTTACTAGTAGGCCTCCTTGTCACTTGATCATACTCCCACTGACATGGCTAGCACCGAGCGTCACGGCATCCGAACGACCTCGCAAAGAGCGCTCACCTCCCAGACAGCCAGCTGCTCCGCAACCAATCCGTGTGGCACCTCAAATTTCTTCCACTCCAAATGGCAGTGCCCATGCTCGAAAGGCAGATGTCCCGTACCCGTCCAGCACTCTTTCATCCGCTCCGAGTAGCACGGCTGTTCGTCCTCCAGGACCGGCTGTGATTATAAAGCCAAAAGCTGTTTCGCGAGAAGAGTTCAGGTACATTGATAGCATCAATACATCGGAAATTTCTTCGCAAAAGCAGGAAGACAAAAGAGTACAGAGTGGAGCTGCTGTTTTAAGACCTCATGAACGAGAGATCGCGGACAGGAAGATTGACCTGCTGGACACACTCGTTACAAATCTAACAGAGGACAAGGACGACCTCGATGGGTCGCAGCATTTCAGCAAGATCATAACGCCTGATGGCGAATTCAACGTACTCAAACCGCGGGCGATGGATAACCTCTCAGAAAAGATGTCCGGTGTAGTCAGTCTAGGACGCTTTGATGCACTTCCTGTAGAACTGGTTATGCAGATACAATCGCTCCTTCATCCTACTGTTCTGTCAACAACCAAGAACGGGCTTTTTTCACGAGACGAGGCTACTCTGGAGCTTACTGAGAGCATCACAACTGCCAAGTTTGCACTGAAATCTTCGAAGCTCCTACTTGAGACTATGATTGAAGGCCGCGACGACTATCGTATGCGACGAGAAGAAATCGTCGATACCATCATCGATCTTATCAAGCTAGTCAAAGACGCATGTATCATTCCCATTGTCCAATCGCGGCGATCGGGCGAGTCCCAAGATCTTTTCAACACCGCCTCAGCTTATAGACAAGACCTGCAAGCAGTATTGCGCCTATCTGGAGCTGTGCTTACTCGATTTGCAACAGTCATAGGCAAATACAATTTGTCTGACCGAGCTCTCAACACCCTGGAGTACCTGACCCTTGAACTTCTAGTGGAGCAAAATAGCGAAAATGAAAAAGACTCTGTTTTTACCATTAGGAAGTTTGAACACTTTCGCCAGAAGGCGATGGATGTTTTGGCTCAGATTTTTGCGAGATATCCAGATCAACGGACGTCAATCCTCAGCGGAATTTTCAGCAATCTGGAAAAGCTTCCTGATAAGAAGGCAAGCGCTAGGCAATTTGTATCTGCTCGAGAAGTGCCTATCATGACAATTTCCGCGCTATTCATGCGTTTCGTTCAGGTTGTTGCGACAAACCCTGGTCCTCGTACTACGTCATCGGCCGACAGCGAGATCAAAGATGTAATAGTTGAAGATGATGTTAGCGACTACGAGCCCGGCACTTCTACAAAGATAGTGAAGAAGGTGAACAAGGGCAGGGGTACCCCCACGTTTATTGCGCAGAATCTGACTACAACGGCTACCAACACCGCCTCCTTCATTGTAACTCAACTCTGCGAGCGTGCGTCAAACACTTCAAAGTCGGGTGACAAGCCATTCCGCAATCTTCTGGATCTCTTCATCGACGATTTTTGCAACGTTCTCGGGTCTCCTCAATGGCCGGCTGCTGTGATGCTTCTACAAGTTCTTTTGGTACGAATGAGGACGATACTTCAGGACGACCAAGCAAACAAGCACTCTGTAGTCGACAAAGATATGGCTCTTACGACAATGGCGAGGATAGGCTGTGGTGTGATTGACTTCAAAGACCAGCTGAAGAAGCTGAAACAAAGGCTAGACGTTTCGCAGTCGGACTTGTCATCGAAACTAGATCGACTCGTGAATGAAGCCATGAGTGAGGATCAAAAGGAACGCGTTAATGACGTGGATCTACTTGCCTTCGAAGGTCCTTACCGCATGGTCATTGAGTCTTTGGTTGAATATCTCGACCTTCGACCATCCCAGGAAGACCCCCACCTTCAAGCAACAACTGGCTGTTATGTCAGTTCCTGGCTCACAGCTGTTACAAAGGCATTCCCTGAACCGAATCAAGATAGCCGGCCAGAACCCATCCAAACAGTTCAGCAATGCCTCGAGAGTATGATCGTCGACCCTAAATGGCTAGCTCGGAAATAGTAAGTGCCACGATTGATGAAATCACTTTGCAACTAACCTTGAACAATAGTAAGTTTCAACCAGTCTCGGACGATCAAAGCAAGCTGGCCGCTGGTGTAATCACGCTCCAAAGCCAAGTGTGCAGATACCTCTCGCAGATTGTCAACTTCATGCAACTCTACGCTCAGGACAAAATTTCACCTAAGCTTCGATCACGAGGAACTACGGCATTGCAGCAACTGCTAGACAAAGATCCCAAGGTTATCTCCGAAGGCCATGTCATCAATATGATCTCCTCGCTCAGAGATAGCTCACCCATGGTTCGCGAAGCAACGTTGTCCTTACTGTCCAATTGCTTAGCCAAGGAGCCCTCTCTGGAGAGACATGTCCTGCCACAGATATTGGATATGACGACCGATCCTTCGAATGGACCGAAGAAGAAGGCAATCAAGCTTCTCAAAGAGATATACCTCCGTTCCAACTCAAAGCAGGTTCGACTCAAGATTGCTGCTCCACTGCTCCTCCCCTCGCAAGATGATGAGAGCACAATTGCGGAACTGGGTCGGAACGTCCTCGAAGAGATATGGTTGACGACTGCTAGCTCGGGCACGAAAACCGATGACAGTCAGCATCGTCTGAACCGTGAGCAGAGAGCAGCATTCATGGTGGACCTCCTGGAATCTGTAGGCCAAAGCACAGTGCACTTGGAGGCTTTCGAAAAGTTCTTCATTCATTGTGTATCGCCTGAATCCAAAGCACCTGCTGCAAATCTGCGCATTTGTGGAGAACTTGTCGCAGATTTGGTCGACGAAGTCATTGATCCAGGGAATGGAACAGACAACAAGTCCCAGACACGTGTCATGAATACCCTGAGTGTCTTCGCGAGGATCAAACCTACTCTCTTCTCGGTGGATTACCTCAGGCATCTCAAGCTCTACATCAAGACAATTGTTAACACGGATGACGTAGCCCTTGTACGGCCAACAGTTGTAGTATTCCGCCATGTGTTGCCAACGCTCCCTTCACTTCAACATGCTTTCGCGGAAGAGATTCGGGGAAGTCTGATGCGTAACGTTCCAAAGCTGGCTAAATTCGCATCCTTGGGTTGGCCTACAAGTCGCGAGACTCTCCTCGATGTTGTCCATTGTTTGTGGGCAATCAGTGGGATATCGAGCATAGGTGCCGAAAAGATCTTCGTTACCACCTGCTCTGTGATCAGCCAACTTCGCCCGTTATTGTCATCGGCCCATATATTGGCGTCAGCCAAGGAGTCTGAAGTGGAAAAAGAGAAAGAGGATGCGACCAAGTTGAAAGAGAAGATACTTTCGTATCTAATCCTACTAGGTGCTTTTGGTCAAGTTTGCAGTCTCGATCAACATGCCGAGCCTTTCGTGGCTAAACTCCGCACTACTATCAGCAAGAACGAGGCTCTCAAGAAGCAGATGGAGCCATCCCTAAATCAAAAGTCACCACCTCCGCCGTCGCTTCTCCTGTTGGATACTGTTCGGCCCTTCACTATGCAGGCTTGGGAGCTAGACATTCGCGAGCAAGCATTACAAAGTATGGGTGGCATCTGTCAGCAGTCACCGGAGCATTTTATGCGCTCCGAAGTGGAAAAGGTCGTGAAGCTCGTCTTCATCAACGAGGACAATCACTCCTTGAGGCATGTCGCGCTCTCTTTCTTCAGGCAGTTTTTTACTGTTGCTGAACGGCGTTCCGAAACAGGCGCACAAATCGCCATTGGTAAAGGAGCTGTGAATGGCTCAGCTCGATTGGAAACCTCATTCGCGGCCACTGGAAATGACCAAGCAACTTTACATCTAGCCCAGAGATTTCTGGAGGACTTTGTGAAGGCTGCTTTGCAGAACAAGAACGAGCTCGCTGTCATTGCCACTGACATCATCGCCAGTATCAGTCGCCAAGGACTTGTTCATCCGAAGGAGTGTGGTGCCGCACTCGTGGCCCTGGCTACTTCACCAAATAAAAGCTTGGCTCAGGTGGCGGGCGACGAACACAGGCGCATCCATGAGAAGCAAGAATCATATCTGGAGAAAGAATACATGCAAGCCATACATATGGCTTTCAGATATCAGCTGGATTTGTTTAACGATCCACGAGGAATGGTTGAAGCTACCCATACTCCGAAGCTTGCAAAACTTTTCGAGGCGCTGAAGACTGGAAAAAAAGCAAGCCTGAAGAAGTTCATTGCCAACTTCTGCAAGCAAATTGACTTTGATCTCTCGAAATTGGATGCCAGTGGACCGGTGCCAGAGGCTGTGTTATACGCCCGTTTCTGTCTAGAGAACCTGGCCTTGCTCGACTTTCCGCATCAAGAAGAATTAGCAGTGTTTCTCAACGCAGTCGAAGCGATGGTACTGAACACAACCGGACCTGCAGTGGGAGTTGTCATCGCAGAAGAGCTTCCAAAACAATACATTCAGGTGGAGCAGCCACAGCCAATGGACCCGTTTCAGCAACATATGATGGCTGCTGGACCTATGAACGGAATGCTACCGTCGCAACCGCTACCACCAATGATTCAAACTGTGCCTCAGCTCGCACCACCAAACATCGACGACGGTCGTCTTCGTCAAATCGCGACAGCCTGTACGATTCTCCAGATGGTATGGGAGACTCGTAGTTTTATTCGGCGATGGTATGGCATCAAACACAACGGACCTATTCCTCAAAAGGAATATGCCAAACCTGCGACTCGCAATCACTTGGCTACCACGAGCAAAGATTTGTGGGAACGCCTATCTGGTGTCATGAGCGCCCTGGATACCCGCGAAAGCATGGTGAAGCAATGTTACGACTTTGCAGATTTGTTAGACATTGATCGGGAAACTTTTATCGACGCAGACGGTGACGATACTCTGGATGCAGGATATGAGACACCCAATGATGACGGCGAGGACAGCATACCATTCCCAACTAGTGGCCGTGGTAGGAAGCGGAAGAGCAACGTTACCTTGGGTGGTAGTACGCCTAAAAAATTCAAGGTCAGGCCGGCGGGATCGAAGAAGAAGAGAACCTCGCGTACGCCAGATGGCGACGGTGATTCAGACTAGGTGCCTTGATCAGTTCAGCCATAGTTGAAGGGGGAAGCAAGAAAATCTGATATGGCCGGTCGTATCATGAATGATCATTCACATGCGCGATACGTTATCATCAAGCTTGGCTGGATTGATGGAGCGAGTATTTACTTTTGCATCTCTTAAACAGCATTTCATCGGCGTTAAAAAAAAAAGGCACGTATAGCATCGATACCCTTAGCAAGCGGATTTATGTACATGGCGCGCCAGCGTTCTCATCATGGCTAAAACCTGGGTTTTCATGAGAACGGTGGTTTCGGACCTCAGCAGCTACAGACATGCGAAAGTTGGTTTCGCCATGTCGAGATTTAGTAATTGAAATCCAGCATATCCAGCATAATCTAAGATATTTCACAAGATAGCACATGGGTGAATGAGCTAGCGACAGAGCCAAACTTAAACAACTAATATTACTAGCTACAGACCCCAAACCCAGCGACATAGGCACTTTACCTTTCTTCAACTCTTCCTTCCTGAAAAGCAAAAAAAATATCACTAAACGTCTAAACAAGCTTCTGCCTCCAACACACCCACAGTCAGCCAAACCGCCCCCTTTAGCGAAAGAAAGAAAAAAACAATCCTCAAACGCACAAGACTCCCAAGAAGTGATCCATCTCCGTGCTTGCAGTACCCTCGTGTCTGCAATGCACATCTCCCTTTTTTTTCGCCTCTACCCGCTTTTCTCTTTTCTCCGGTCTTATCTATGTGTGTATGTGTATGTGTGTGCCACCAACACCGTATCCCTTCTACATACGTACGTATGGGGTATCTCGATACGGCCAGGGGTTGGGTGGCCTGAGGAACAGCCCCCACGCCATGTGCAGCCCACCCACGATCACCGTTGGATCAATTTCGGAGGGCCTGGTGGGACTTGTGGAAAATTAGGGGGGGGGCGCTTGCTGATTGTCGTATTGGGGGCTGTATGGAGGTTCTGTTTGGGAGTTTTTTTTCTGGTAGGTTAATTAGGTGGGTGGTGGTGTGGCTGGTGCGGTTGCGATTGGTGGATTAAAAGGGGGGGAGGTAATGTGGCGTTGAGGGAGGTGATATTGTTTGTGCAGNTGTGTGTGTGTGTGTGTGTGTGTGTGTGTGTGTGTGTGTGTGTGTGTGTGTGTGTGCTTGGTCGGATGTATGAATGGGTGGGTAGGCGGTATTTGGAGAAGAGATGGAAATTGAAAGAGCAGTGACTGACAGAGAATAGTATGGTTATGCATCAAGATCGGTGTGTAAAGAGAAGATGTCAAAGAGATGCACGAGAGAATATGGGACTTGAAAGAAACGTTAGAACGGATCACAACACCTGACCTCTGTCTCGATGCTTTACGGGTTACTTACGACACTTGCCAAAAAACCAAGATAACCGGTAAAACACAAAATGTACAAGAAGAAACCGATTCGAGTATCCTCTCTACAGACAAATGCAAATAGCCTGGACCAGCGTCTCCAATTCGGCACAATGTTTGCTGCAAGACTCTATCCACATCGCACACCGACTTCACGATGGCATTTCGAGATTGAGCTTCGCTCCGGAACGAAAGGCCGTCGAATATCTGCTACTGCTAGCAGAGTAACGAGGAAAGAAAGAGGAAAGGTTGGTGGGTCAAAGGACAATATGACAGAGAAAAAAGGTGTGCGAGTTTCCTGGTACAGGCAACGTCATCGGCAGTTGTAAAGAGCTCAACAACTTTTTTTGGCGCCTCAGCTGCTGTTCATCTTTTGGGCTGTCTGAGGTGACCCCCTTCTCTGGAGCCCAACGTTCTTTCAGCCAGCGCGAGGATCAATATGCCATGGAGCTGAAAGACTCAACGGCCATAGGGAGTGCCCCCATGCCGCACTTTGACGTTACACAGATGTCATGAGGCCTCTCACATGCGACAAAGAAACTGGACAAGCAGGTAGAAGACGATGAGGATTCAGTACTAGTACCAGCATTGTCCAATATACCCCGTAGTAATCGCCCAGTTTAGTCATTCCCATCCACTCTCAGACACCAAATTTCGCATGATCATCATCCTTCCCCCCATCCTGCCATATTAGAAAAGTCCACTCCTCGGACCAAAAGCGACAAGGTCACCAGGGCTGCCCATAACCCCCCCTCTCACCACCACCACAACCTCTTTTCGCCAACGATGATCCTCCGCGAAAAGCATGCCAGATGGGAAAAAGATCTCTTCCAGCCCTTTGTCTGTCTCCCCTGCCACGGCGCCGCTCTCCGCAGTCCCATATCCGTTCAGGCACACCGAGCCAATATCCCAATGCATTTGGCGATCAGCGCTCGTGGCCTGGAATGCCATTGTAATTACCCATTTCGGAATCAACCATGTCGCTGTATATCGGGGCTAACTGGGTGTTGCGCCTAAATTGGGAGGGGGTTGGAGGGGCAAGGTAAAAAGGTTCTAGCCAAACGCAGAGGGCTCGTTGGTCGTTAACTGATGGTGCTATGGTCTGCACGAATTCAGCTATAGCTATATCACTTTGTCTTAAGAGCTCGTTCGACACTTTCTTTTGGGGGAGGGGTGGAAAAGTCAGGTGGTCGCTGCCGGTTTCGATTGCCGATGTGGCGTGTTTGGTTTTATTTGTTAAGTGGGTTTCCTGTAATGGAACGAGACGTGCAGGTGATGTGCTGAAGGATACAGTGCAAGATGCAACGCACCTTTGGAACAGCACGGCTGCTTTTGCCCATTGCGATAGATTGTCTTTTACTTGTTTCGGGAAACTTTCCAGGCGTGAGAGGGTTGTTGAGGTTGTTGCTGTTTACATGTTCTCAATAGGATTGAGAAAGCGGCCATTTGCCACAAGTTGGAGTCAACCCTCTTGGGGGCGGCATCGCGCGTCTCTGGAACTTTTGCTTCAGTTGATCGCTGCAGCTAGTAGCATCTCTTACTGGGGAATACTGGTAAGGTTGTTGCTGATTGCCGCGCCGCTTTCAAGATGCTGGCCAGAGTCACGCCATGCTGCCAGGCACGAAGCATCCAGGATTCATGTTCTTTAGGAACAGGATGGAGACGAGCAATACGAGGTAATTTCACCTCATCTCAAATCGAATGTCTAGTCATGGTAATTGTCATTGCAAAAGGTACACTTCTGTCAAGAATAGTGCCGGGTATATACTATGGTAATTGAGTGTCTTGGCGAAGCTGGGAAATATTTGCCGGAAACCCTGCAGCTGGTGTCTACCCCACATCCCAAAGACGGCATCAAGACCCCATGGTTTTTGCTTGACTGCTGTACTGTACGAGAGTAGCCAGAGTCGAAGAAAAAGCCTAGCTTCGGAAGTCTTCTCGAAGACCCTGATTACGCATGGACGTCAGGGCCGATGTTCCACGAACCTGTTCTTTTATTGCAGATTTCCAAGGATGTTATTTCAGGGGAGGGGTTGTCTCAGAGCAGCAGCTTGTATCCCCAAGTTGCAGTCGGTATGTGGAGATCCGCCTTAGCTGTGGAGGATGCATGTATCCACGCTTGCAGCTCACGCGCCCCTTACTCTCCACAATTCGAGCATCTTTGGCGTATAACAGCGCCCTTATTGTCGAGTATAGTTTGGCAATGCTTGATATGCACCCCTCCGAAGAATTTTGCCAAGTGCGAGATGCCGTTTGTCATGCCCGATGGAGTTGCATCGGCACGATCTTCGTACCAACTCATCTGATGCATGTCGGCCAGACGGGCCCCTGATATTGCTAGGTAACAGTGGCTTGAAGCCGAGGAGTCGGTCCAACGGCTCATCTGATGTCGGCATGAGATCATTCACAACATGGCAGCGCTGCGCCACATCTAGGTCTTATGACGCCGCAAAAAGCAAAAGAAAGGATATCAACGCCCAGGAAAGAAAAAAAAGGGAGAAACCGAGAACGAGAGCGAAGATGGTAGCGACGGGAATTTGCATCGGAGAGAGACAAGGTTCGTTAAATCGCCTAGCTGCATGGGAAATTTGCAAGCCCCCTCGACAAAGGTAGAGATCCAGCATGTCTGATCTAGTGCTTCATATGTTGTGGTGAATACGAGCGGTCGGAAGCCTAGATGTGGGTTGACAGACCGAGAGATCCGGGTCTAAATCACGCAATTATGATGAAGACAAAAAAATTACTGACAGGTGGGGAAGCATGATTGGTCGAAAAAGAGGGTTTGTTCGATAAAGAAAAAAAACCAGAAAGCTAGGTAGAGGTGATTGACGAGCGTGCTGCATTAGCGACGGATGTGTGGCATCCAGAAATTCGGAAAGAGGAGCAAGCGTCCTGCAGGTGCTAGGGTCGTGCCGCTATATTTCCTTGGTACTTGGGTGTACCTTGTCTGAGTGGTAGTGTTTAGTTGCATGCTGCGCTGGCCTTTTCCCAAACTAGTCGTTGGTGCCCTTGCAGCGCAGATGTCGTGGTGGTGGCTTGGAGATGACAAAGCCGCCAGGCGACATGGCTACGCAGAGTCGCTGCTTGTCACGATATCCTGATTGCTTCAGGCCAGGATGTCTCGGAGACATGTCCCACAAGGACATGGCGCAGCGGCTGGGGGATGGTCTGAGTTTAGTAGATCCAACGTGGTGTTGTTAGTTACGTATTCGGTGATGCCGAAAGGAGCAGCGTGCGCGTTGCAAGTATGTAGTAGTAATGTAGTCGGGCACTTGGCAGGGTTGAGCAGAGCTGCGTTGCTCAATCTGCTCCGGGGATAGATGGATGGGTGTCGCAGTAAGTACGAGGCTGAGATATGATAGCCATCCAACGAGTAATGACGGACCGTCTTATGGTGTGCCAAGGCGAGTCCATACTGTTGTGCCACTGTTCGCTTTGTGCGGCTTGCAGCGTAAGCAGCCCTCGCTCGGGACGACCCTCCACAAAACGAAGGGCGGTGCACTGCAGCAATCTCCACTTGGCCGTCGCCTACTCGAGCGCCACGCGGGAGGCTGGGTGGTGATTGGCTGCGCTCGAGTATCCCCATTGCACGTCTGGAGTTGCTGGACGTGGGCGTTCGACTGTGCAGCGCGCAGACATTCACTCGACCGGCTAAAAGGAAGAATGCTCGACGCGGGCCAAAACGGTCATTCCACCCACCCACCTTTTGCAACCCCTGCCCTTACCTGCTCTACTGCAACCACCCTCGCAGCAATATCGAGTACCGAGATCTGGCAAATGACCGACCAACGCGCACTATACCTCGAGCTACAACCGAGCGGCGGCTCGACACCACCAAACCCCTACCTACCACGTTCCCCACATCCTGCGTGTCGATCGTCCCAGTCGCTTCCGCTAGCTGTATACCAAGAGAGGCCCTCTACGTTGGCGCCGCATGCATCTGCTTGTATCCATCGACTAGTCCGCTGCACCCTGCCATCATACTAATAAGTATGTAGTCACCATTGCAACATGTCTCTTTCTGGCCCTAGTCGGCGGAGCCTAGTAATCTCCCTGGCGCCGTGTTCAAACAAGATCCTGCACATGGCAAGCCAGCCTCACGCCAGCCGCACGCCATGCCCGACATCTAGAGCGCCCATGCCCACAACCCTCTGCCATCCACTTCTGCCTGTGCTGTCCGACGTCGCCTCCCCCGTCGCATGGGCAAGACAAGGGGGAGAAAAGGTAATCGACCCTTTTCTGACTGCCATCTTGCCAAGACCACAGGGGAAAGTATAGCCTAGTCTTGTCCCTCACCCAAAAACCGGTTCTGGACGACCGCTTGCTGCGACGGGACGTGACGATCTGTAAGGACTCCACCCGCGCTGCTGCTCAAAGCCAGGCCGCCATTCCGAAGCGTAGCTTACTTGGTCGAATCCCGAACGACCAGTCAACGCGCTTGCATGCTCACCGTATCCCGAACCTTTGGCACCCACGTTGGCTGTCTAACGTCACCACACGGCAGACACAGCCCACCCCCCCCCCCCCTAATACTATGCGGTCCACAGATTATACTCTTCTCGCAGTGTGTTCCTCTTCTCCGCGCAAAGGACGCGATTTTGTCACGGCACCCACAACCCAAACTTTCCCCCTTTTTTCACTTTTCATCTAACGAGATGAAAAAAAGGCCCCCCATCAAACAAGCCGAGACCTAAAAAATCAACCCTAAAATGTGGAGAAGTAGTATGTTGGGATGCGGCTTCTTGAATGAGCAAGACGCGGCTACGATGCATGTGCAAAATGTATTGGCGAGATTGATTCGGCATTGCACGTACATGGCACTACCGTAAGGCACTGCAGTGGCACCATGTTCGGACCTGGATCTTCCTGGGCCTTTGCACTGGATCTGGGGCAGTTGTTGCGGAGAGTAGGGAGCACACTCCGGTTCTGAGGTGTGCCAGTGATGAGTGAGGCTTGCAGCTTGCGTGTACATGTCTGTATGCATGACGGGTCTCGTTTCGGGGCGACCATGTGAGTACTTGCCTTAGAGTTGAGCACGCTGAATGCTTCTTAACACCCCGTGTTAAGGCGACATATGGTTCACGCCATGTGTCTGCATAAGATTTGGCAGCCTCGTATGAACAAGCACAAAGAGCGTGTCCCGTCTTTCCCCGTTGCTTTGCAAACACTGAAAACAAGAAGCTCCGTCATTACTTGGCTGCAATTGGCAATTCTTTGCGGAGGCCACGACCACACTACTGTTTGTGATACACAAAAGGCCCGTCCCCCGTCAGCCGTGATTCATTGCTGCATGGCCTTTATAGCAGATATGCTGTTCGAACACAAGGGTTCTACGCAAGCAACAAGGGTGGGGGGAGACATTGGTCCTTTGGCCCATGTGGGCGATATTGCGGTAGCCGACCTGCATGCTTTCCGGATTCCAACGGCAACGCAGTGTTGTCGGCCATTACAAGTTCCCATCAGCAAGTCTCAACAAATCTGGGGTGCATGACAGAACCAAATAGTGTATGCCCTTGTATATTACCTCTGAGAGAGAGCACGCGGTAGACGACGACGAGGGGCTTCTACGAGCCGGTGTATGGTCCACCGTTTTGCTTTCTTCTTCTCTTCTATTTTCGGTTCATGTCCTTAATAGGATGCAAAAGTCCCCCTCGGTCCCCCTTCGCGGATATAGGTTCGGTTTTCCATTGCAATCGCTAGGGCTGGCGTACATTTGATATCGCTCAAACGGTTCCATATGAAAGATGTTCCTTGCAGCCAAGATATGCAGTATCCCAAAAAGAGAAACGCCCACAAGAAAGCTATCCTGCAGGCTTGGTCGAAAATGGAGAAGAAAAAGCTTGGTTTCGGCACAGTTCGTCTGCCCTCTCGAGGGTCGGGTAGTTTGGGGGCTTTTGCGATCGGGAAGCCGATTATGGGCCGGTAAGACGGTAGCGCGCGAGGGAAAGGCGTGACTCAGGGGTTCAAGTGGATTAGGTCGAACCGATGCTAGTAGGAAAGGACCAAATTCTGAAGTGTCATATGCCCCCCCCCCCCCCTTCCCCCAAAGTGCCGGCGTGTTCCGGTATGTGTGGGCTAACCTGCTGCAAGCAAGCGATACCTTGTTTTGCCAGCTCTCGGAAAGCTCTTCGTGCTTTTTTTTTTTTGGCTTTTTGCGGCTACTACTCCATGGTGTTTTGCACGGGTTAGTGTGACAAAAAGATCACCAAGGCCGGGGTTCTTTTTTAGTATACCGTCCAAGAAGACCAAAAAATCCCCGAGTATGGAAGATGATTGTTAAGTCATGTGTTGGTTGTTCCGAAAGCTCCCCCCCAACCCACCCACCCAATGGCGTAGGTTCAGTAGATTGTTAAAGTGCTCACATATTTGATTGGCTCAATCGCATTGATACCACGCAAGTCGTCAGCACCACGCGCAGCCTTTAGGTCCGCGGCGCATTAGGGCGACAAAAAAACGGCCTTACTGGTTCCTTCTCAGGAAAGTATCATGCATTTTAGATTATGGGGAAAAAAGGGGGGATGTTTCTTTCCAGTGTCTGGTGGTCATGTTTGTGTTAGATAGATACACCGGACGACGTGGACTGTGTATGTAGATACGGTGGGATGCAGGGGTCACGCATCTGAAACCATGATCCTAGGTATAACAGCGCGTGAGCGAGACATATGGACAGACTTGCTCAGGAACACGGTGCGACTACACCGAGTAATCATAACAGCTATGCTATTGTTAATCCTCTTGCCCAGCACAGCACCTTACTGCAACTGTCAACCAAGTCTTTCTCTCACCACGGCTCCGTGTATCAGAAGCACGTAGACACACACACATACACGCAGACACGGTAACAAAGCTGTATTTTGAGTTTATTATGGATTGTTCTGCTCAAGATTGCCTGATCACTAAGAGCGTTATGAAACTCAGTTCCATCATATAGTAGTACTATCGACCAAACTTCTCCAAATGTGTTCTAGAAGCGAAAGCAGCAACGTAATGTGCCGAAGAGGGTGGGGGTATAATGAACAAACCAATATAGCGGAATGGAGGAGTGAAAAGGTATTTCTCCAACCGGCGAGAATACGGGAAATCTGCAACCAATATTGACCTTTTTTGACAAGGAACCATGGGTATGTGAAGTGAAAAGAGAAAAAAAAAGATGTTGAACAACATGGTATGTGTGTGTGTATGGCAGGGGAAAAAAGGAAGTTTGGAATCGGGAAACGCCTTTTCCGTTCCCTTTCTGCCACCCCCCACCCTAACCCCATTTTCCATCGCACCGAGAGCGCAAACAATAAACGTGTCGAAATGCAGAGAAGACAATATTTTCAAAACGCCCAAAAATCATAATACATCAACTCATAGTACACCACCGCGCTAGATGTGTGTATGTGTGTGCCCGATCCGTCAAACGCCAAGCAAGCCTTTGTGCGAAATGTCTGTGCACCCGGGAGAAAGGAAGGATAAAGAGAGCACAGTTTGTGTGGTGGGGGGGGGGGGGGAGACGGGGGGGGGGGGGGGGAAGCAAAGTGCATTAGAGCATATCGTAATGCTACCGAGGCAAAACCACTGATCGAGATTGCGCCTCGGTCAAGAAGATGGCAAAAATAAAGGTAATTGAAATGGAGGGGAGGGAGGGAAAAAAAAGATGCCATCACTGCTACGTGTATGGTTGTGGAGCGGAGTACGGCAACATGATCGCGAGATGATGCCGAGATGACAAGGGTCGAGGATGGCGCGAAGCGAGCGTCGAATGCACCTCAGAGTGCGAGCCCGGTGCCGTCGCCGCTCCAACGGTAGAGACTCAACATTTCCCTTCTCCGTTGTTGCGCCAGTTCGGCATGTTCGTCTATGCCGCGGCCACGCACTTGCTGCAAGGCAGAGCGCATGACTTTTCGGAAATTTCGCTGTTGCGATAAACCGTTAGCATAACTGGCCCGGGTTGAGAAAATTCCGCTTGGCTGAAACAGAAAGGAAGGTTGATTGCGTAACGAAAAAAAGGGCGACAAACTATCCGGGGGAGGGGAGGACGCTTACCTGGTACTCGGTATTGAGGGTGACAATGCATGCCTCGTGTGCACGTACTATGACTTCGCACGCACGAACTATCTTGGGGTTGGCGTCTCCTTGGAGCTTGTCGGCGATGAGAAGTAGCAAAAAGCTTCCCTGCAAAAGGTAGATCCCGAAGAAGAACGGCATGAAGCTCAAATCAGGATCTAGCTCAAGGACCTCATTCAATGCCTCAGCTGCATGGACAGCATGGCCGGTAGCATCCACAAAACTTTGTGAAGAGATCCAGAGGTCGTTGTCATCCAGAAGCGAAATGGGGTCCCACTTGCCGTTCAGTAAGATATGCAGGGTGTGCATGAGGTGCGTGCCATACGCCTCCACAATCTTGGCGTGCAATAAGTTCTCCTGCGCTCTGGATATGGACGAGTTGACAGATCGTACCGAGGGCGTGCCAGGATGCACTGATTCCTGCTGAGCCTCCACGTTCGCTTCATGGACAGCACGGTTCCGAAGCTCTTGCAAAGAATGGCCATAGGCTACAAGCTGCTGACTGATCTCTACCACATGATGTTCCCAATCCGTCTTTGCTCCAAAACGCGGATGATTGCGGGCATGGTATAGATCGGTAATCTCTCCAAGGATGGTCATCAGAGGAAGGAAAAATCCGAAAATGGAGTGCCCGGTGCACTCGAATGCAGGCCCTCTTCGGCGAAATGTGTGATCTGAAAACGATTGAGCGGAGTCCTCGAAGAATTCCCCAGATTGCCATACGTTATCGTCAAGCGGCTGCAGAAGCCCGGAGCATTCCACGTCCAATAAAGAAAGCGGCCGGTTGTAGCATAGGGCTAGGTGGCTACAGATGGATCAGCACTTGTCGGTTTGGGGGAACTTGGCTGATTTGCCAGAATGTCGACAACATGGTTCCAGCAATGTTTCTTTGTTGGTGCCACGGGTGACAAAGATCAGAAGGCTTACCGATCAACGGTGAACAAAAGCCACCATATACGTCTACGCTCTTCTCTTTGCTCCTCAGTGCATTCTACGGAAGAGTGCTGGCCGTTAGGGTATGCTCCGCGCCCATGTTCGGCACGGATATCTGCCGAAGTGTTTTCGTCGTTGGGCTCGGGTGGGGGCGTCACGGGCACTTCTTTGCCCAGCTTGAGCTCTCTGGCCAGTGACCATGCTGCGTTCCACCAGCGTAGTGATGCAGCCTTGTACTCGCTTGCTGAGATGACAACGGCTAAATGCATGTAGGTCACCACCTCATCAAGGCCGCCGCATGCTCCCGCTATAAGACTTTGCGTCAACTCTGGGGAATCCGAGGCTTTTAGGGTGAAGATTGACTTACGTAGACCGATATCAGATTCTTGAGTTGGCATCCCGAAACCATCCATTGTCACACTGTCGACCATGTTTCCAGTGGCAAAATTTGTAGGGCCACTATCTGGACTACCTGGTGTCTGATGTACCAAGGGCTTCAACAGACTGATTGTCAGATTGATCAGCTTCTCGGAAAGCTGACTCCGCGCAGACGGTGAGGAGGATAGATAGGGTGACTCGCTCGTCAAGCAACCGATCCATAACATGCTAGCCAGTAGTGCTGGGCTGCACACCCTTGGGTTGTTCGTCCTCAGAAACGACCGTTTTCGGAATACGTAACCAAGTACATAAGGAGATACGGGTTGCATGAACGCGGATGAGGAACTTTGGAAGTAAAGCTCGAGCAAGTCGCAAGCCAATGACACCGGCATAATGTTTGCGAGGTGTGGAATCAACGGCTGCAAGACTGGGTACCTCAACTGTTGAGAGTGACTCTGGTGTGGTGCGCCCGAGTACATGGTAGTAGAGGGAGAGGGCAAAATCCAGCCTGGTGAGCCATTGGCTGGTGACTGGGGCATGTATCCCATGTTTGGGGGTTCTTCTGGCATTCCAAATGCGCCTGGCTGCGGTTGTGTTTGCGCATGCGCACTCTGCGGACTCATCATACTATAAGGGCTTCCGGAGTACTCCATAGCATGCCCGTGGGAAGAAACGGCAGGATGCATTCCTGGCTGCATGACCTGGAGTGGTGGTTGTTGGTAGGCGAGGTTTCGATGGTACTCCATGGATGCGTACTCGGGAATAGAGTGCTGCATGGGCAGTCCTTGGGTCTGGATGCGAGGTGGCTGCATAGGCTGCATGGCTTGCATGTCGTCAGCCATTTGGTGGTGCATGTCGCCTTCCGGGATTGTGTCAATGGCGTTCAGGCTCATGGTCCTGTTGGGGTACATGGATGCAGTGTCCATGTCAGAACTTGTAGTTGCAATGCTGGCGGACCGTGCCGGTAGCTCGGAACGAGGTCTCTGGCCTTCTGTGAGTTTAGGGCTGCTACTTGGAATAGATTCGGCCGTCTTGTCTGAGGGCTGTGGAGTGCTGGACTCTTCAGACTTGACCGTGCTGCTTCCTGCGGCAGCGGCAGCGGCAGCTTGTTGCTGGGCGATGTCTTTTCGCGATGCCTTGCCGCGCTTCTTGCGCTCACGGATGTATTCGCACGTCAGACCAAACTCTGGTGTTTTGTCAGTGAAACTGTCAGACGTGGTAGTGGCAGGACATGGCCGGCTGTGCTAGGTTCCGACTAAGACGCCTAGCAGACGCCACAGCAGAAAAGGCCGATCACGGTGTCAGAATATCCCCAGACAACTGCGGGGTTTACGCTCACGCCCCGGTCCACGATTCGTTGCAACGTACCTATACAATGCGCGCACTAACCCATGGATTAGTCGGCTTAGCTCTAGTAGTACATGTGGGACGCTGGTAGTAGTAGCAGGAACTTACAGACTGTCTCCCATCACACTTTGTTCGCAGTTGATTACACTGGTCGCATGCCCGACTGATCCTACGTCGCACCGGCCCCGACGCAGAGTTGCTGCGGCCTGATCTTTCGTGGAGCATCTCTCGCTGGTGTCGTGGCGCCAGAGGTCCGCTGGCGTATGGTAGTCGATGATGGGGCTTGATGACGGCTTTGCCGTTGGGCAAGACATGGCGGTTGTGGTGGAACTGCAATGCAGCGTACTGCGACGGGTGGGCCATGGACTCGAGTGAGGAATGTCCCATGTGGTCCACGGCAAGATGGTGATGGTGATGTGGATGGTCGACTGCGTTGGGCGAAGGGACATGGCTGAATGCCGGGGGGTACTGATGGAGATTCGTGGAAAGCATAACTGCGTTCTAGCGTCCGTCTCCACCAAACTTCCACCACTCGAGAGAAGAGGCTGCGGAGTCAGTAGTGGCAGGAAGGGATTGAATATGTCCGTAGGGGAAGATGTGATGAGAGGGGCGGTGGAGAGAGGTGGAGAGGTATTTGGCAGGGCTAGACGGTTGCAGCGCTGGGGGGGCGGTTGTGCTGTGAAGGACGTCCAAAAGATATGCAGGTCACTTGTCCAACCGTCTTCTTTTGACTACAGCAGCGGGCCAGGGTTACGATATTGCAGCCGGATACCACAGTGGCCGCTTAACGCTGAGTCTTAGTGGAGGCAGTGGGGTATAATAGGTTCTGTCCACTGCGTGGCAGCGCAGGAGGGCCATGATGCCGAATCGACATGGGCAAACCCGTCGCTCCTTGGGGCCCAGCTGCGTCGTGCGTCAGAGATGTCTCTGGCCACATGCTGCAAACGAGATGGGCAGCAGGGCGGGTTCGTGCGTAGGTGCGTCTGGAGGGCGAATCTGGTCAAGCTGGCTTCGGTTCCCCCATCCCCAGTGAGCAATTCATCCCTGCCAGAGCTGCCAGGCCCTGGCCTTGCAGCACACCAACACGTCGAGGGCGAGCACAGTCCACCAAAGCCGCTGGATCGCCGGTGCTGCGGACGTGAACACGGACACATGCCAGAAGGCTCGCCGCGGGTTAGACTGGCAATCAAAAAACCATATTGGCTGATCGGTGCCACCCCGACCCTATATGCGGCCGCCTTAAGAAGGGTGGTGTACCGATGCCGGCTCAACAAGTACCTCCAAGTACCTGCCCGTACCAAGACCCACCACCCTCCACCATAGCATGGCCCGTTTCCCGTTACTGAGCGATCAAGGATACCCCGGGATGGTGATTGGCGAACCCAGCCCGCTCAAACTGCGTCCGTTGGCACACGAGCCGCTCGCAACACGGGACCTGGCAGTCTCCGCCACCGCCCAGCTTGCCTGCCTGGGGACGCGGCCACCTCTTCCTTAGTCGCAGCCCCCAATGGGCCCTCCCTGGTTCGACATGCACCCTCAAGCCCAGCGCTACCCGCCTCGATGCCGGTCATACTGCACCCTGGTGACGAACCCGCCGCCCATCCCAACCTGCGCTGATCGTCTCCATCCGTCCATCCCTCTCCCGCCGACCGCCCCGGAGATGGGCCATGGCCTGTCAGCTGGAAATGCTCAAGACACCCGTCTCAGACGCGTACTTACTTGCAAGCCTCTGCTACCAGAGTTTTCACAGCACCCTGCAAGCGCCGTCGACCAGGGCCATTCCCATAGCAATCCGCCTATACCTCCCAGGAACCAAACACGCAGCCGGTGTCCCTTCATAACACTAATGCATCTTATGAATCCCGTACACCAGCCTGGACAAATCCGCCCCACCGCTAGAGCCAGACGCAAGCTTGCCAAGCCTAAACGTGGAAACCTCCCATGTGCATGTGTCGAACATCATTACATCTGGATATAGCACATGGTGGTATGGCACCAGCTCAAAGAAAAACCGGGCAACCACAGCTGCTGCACGTGTGCCACGTCTGATCCAGCCTGCTGAAAGATGCTCCAAAGCGGGCCGTGTCAGCAGCGTTGCAGGAACAGCCCATCGACTTCACGGTGCAGGATGCTCCGCGCTACTCAGCAGGGCGAGTATGTATCCGTTGTTCGGTAACGAGGGGGCCCCACCCCCAAAGAGGCCTTGTCGAGTTTGGCTGCAGTTCCAGACCATGAGACCGTTGGCTGACAGGTTCCAACTGTCGACGTTAGGCGACAACGCTGTAGTATCTGTGGATCGCCTCGCATCCTGCTTGCTGGCCTAGTGTCTTCAGTGTTTACCAAGCACCACAAATTTAAATTGACCTGCATCGGTCGCCACAATGGCCCGGATTCGCATTACAATGTCGGTCCGTTGTTCAAGCGGCTAGAGGTATTCGCAGCAATGTCACGTTGAAGCCTTCTGTGTTTTTTTTGGTTTTCAACGACAGGAATATCGTCTCGAGATTCTGCACGAAGGATTTTCGTCTAGTCTGATCCAAGTGATTTCCATCATGAGTCATTGTAACGTGATGGCATCGTTTTAACCGCCGAAACAACAAGGCACGAAAATCACGAGCAACGCGTCTACTATCCCCTTTCGCCACTTGTGTCGGAAGAATGCAAGCTAACAGTGAGGCCTCCAAGAGTCGTCTTATCAGGCCATGGTCCGTTTTTTACACCAGTCTGGTAATCAGATTCGACGACCGACATTTGAACTTGCGGGAATATGCTCAAGCATGGGACAAATGCGAGCCTGCTCGGCGTTCCCGATTGCACAGGGTGAAAGCAACGCGTCCCAGGATTTCACACTTCCATCTTTACCGTAATGGGTATGTGTAGCTGCAGCGATGTGCAGACATTCAATACATTCGGTACTACGATAAGCTATGCAATCAGCTCATGCCCCTGATCTCATCATGACTGTGATGACTGTTGATCCGGTCTTCATTGACAGAATGCAGGTCATCCAGCTGCAGATGAGTACAGTTTACTTGTGCTCGACAGTTTACTGCTTAGCTACCATACACTTGATGGAGTTCGACAAAAGGAAATATGAAACACCTCATGTCATGGTTTCTATGTTCTCTTAATACTTTGCGGCTCTGTTATACCTATATCCCAAGTGTTTCACGCATCGTTCAATAACAACCTGTCTTTACAATTCATGCCAACACAAGATTCAGATGATCTGACAGATTATTCACTACAAGCAACACTGGAAAACTACCGCAAACATCCTATTGGGTCTGATTTTCCGTCGGCTGCCCACTTTCCATATTCACAGATTTCGTGCAAGGCAAACGAGAGTTTCTCCCAAAGACCTATACTTAGTCTGTTACCACGTCAGCAACAACGTGAGAGGGATAGAAAATAGCATTCACGAAAATGGCATCATGTGCGGTGTAACACAAAATGCAACACGTCTCTATCAAGGTCTGACCGTAGCTAATTTCGTCTGTATGGAGGGTGTGATTTGTGGAAAGGAACCTTCAACAACGATGCATTTGCACTTGAGACGATAGAGTTAAGAAAAATGGCAAAAAGAAAAGTAAGGCAGTGGTACAACAGACGCCCTTATTGGTGATACTGCCTCTTCCAGTTGCAAAAAGCAACCATAATATCTTCAAAAACGTTGGTGACAACAAACAACAAACAACAAAGCCCTCAAACTGTTACCCTGCTATGGGGTTACTGACAACATAGCTCACTTGCGTTGCTTTATTCTCCTATACAAATACAATTTGTAGATACTTAGAGGTCGCAGTTGTCCTGTCTAACCACAACAGGCGCCACTGGTTTCAACAACTAGGACATTATGCGCTTAGTTGAACCAGTGTTACTTTTGCACTGATTTATAAATTAAACACATTCATTAATCATGCTTACGATTACTAGTTCGATGTATAAGACCTAGGCACAACCCTTGCTGAGTTGGCATAGTTACGCCTCGTTCTTTTAGCGTGACCTTCAACCTACTTTCATCTGGTATCATCCAAACTCGACAGCTTAATGTTACTATCGAATGTATACTGAACACATGCTACAGAATCACATCCACATGCTCTAAGAGGACGGTGTTGTAGTTAGAATTGATTTCCAAAAGACATCAAAAGGTATTCACATATCTTGGATGCACAACTCAGCTGGGATCGAGTGCGGCGACCTCCCAATAGATAGAGTATTGTTATAAGTTAACTTGGCGCATGTGTTAGAACACATTTACTGTTCTATAACAACCGGAAAAAATAGCTAACGCATCGCACATTACTGTCCCAGTTTTGTCGCTCGACATGTTTACTTTTTTCAAAGTATCGTTGTAATAACGATTGCAGTATTCATTTAGAATCGCAATTATTTGTAAAAAAAAAGTACACCTCTTCACTAAAAGATCATTACTAACAAACATAGTCAAGGGTTTTGAGATAGTCTATTTGATGTATGTACATACTTTGCAGTGACTGACTCGAGGTGCTCCTACCACAATGGCGCAGCTACTCAACATCAGGCCTGCTGGTTTCCAAAGTTCTAGATCTATACGACCGTATAGAAACAGGTTATCTGGATCCTTCATAACGTCTAATACTATTGGCAATAGTTTTGAGTATCATTTGGGTTAGCATTTCGATCCAGCCACTTTAGCGCACCGACGGGCCGCAAAAGACCACCACAGTTCGTATTGCTTATTGCTGTGCTTTGGCCAAACGAACTATGTATACCGTGTTTTAATATTACAGTCTTCACTTTTATCCATGCTTTTGCTTGAACGCCGGGGGAGAATTTACTCCAAGTTCTCCTATTCTGACCTTGAACGGCTTCAACATATCCCGTGCCGAATTTGTTGTGATTCCTAACTACAGAACAACATAAGAGGCATTCACCATCCGTTTTTTTGTTCAAAATTTACAAAAACAGCATTCATGTAATCAGCCCACTCGAAGACGGTGTGGGAATATAACCGAAAAGCTCTTTCTAACTACTTTGACGTCCTAAGAGCATGTCATTCAACTATAACATGGTGGTGCGCAATGATGAGAGACTCGCAACCACCTGTTTATCTAATTCGATAACATTCTGAGACTTTTGTTTGCTTGTTGCGGTTAGAATCAAAAGGCATACAGCATCAACATATACATATTGCCCTGACCGGACGATTGCGCCACAGTTCAAATTTGCAAGAACCGGGTGGCTTGAGTGGCGACGAGGCAGGCGGAATTCGAACACAACAAGCATGAAATGAGTCCTCATCTTGCGTTTGTGCTGATCATCATTCCATTCAGGAATAATTCTCAAAGCAACGCACACAGTAAGCAGTTGCTTACACTGAGGCCGAGAGTGTGATCTTCATGGGCGGAGTAAGTCCCTTGATACGAGGACAACTCAAAGGTCTGTCGTACCGAGCCGTTCCCCACAGCTATCCCGCCCCACGGGGATGGGTAAAGGCCCAAACAATCTGCACCCAAGTTTTTTGCAAATTTATATAAGGCGGCGCATGGCGCAAGCGAATACATCTGCACCCTCGAGCAGGGAAGACGACAGGACAAGGCACTGCGGCTTCTCAAGCCGACTCCAGCTCAGCTTGTTGGTCTTCATATATTGCTCGTACAGCCCTTGATGTCGCTGCATAAATCCCGTGGCTGCCCTGTTGATGGACACGTGTGGGACCTGGTTATAACAGGTAGAAATATGGCTATTGACGGGAATATAGGCTGCCCAAGATATAACCACTCTATGGACGCTGGATTTCGGCTTCTAGCGCCAGTCTATCCGCCCTTGAGGGTCACATGGCTCACAAAGGCTTGACAAGTTCACACTTCCACGTGGACATGAGCACCCTGTCACTTGTGAAACTTTGCACGCCGAGTAAGCCTCGGTCTTAGGCTTCCCAATAGACAGTAGATATTGTGTGATAAAAGGATCCGCCCCATCTGAAGGGGTCGATCCAAGGATAGCGGGAATGAGTGGGTGTTCTAGAGGTTCTATGCAGAATGCAGGGTGGTGTAGAAACCAGTGGATACTTGGTACTCCCCTGCAACCTGCTCAACAGGCACAGTTAAAAGTATCTGCCGAGCGTGTGCAGAAAATTGCCATGGAAAATTACCCATAAAGAGAAAGATGGTGTCGGTATACCTGCCACTCTTCTACGGTTTAAGATTCTGTATTCCGTTGCGCAAAGTGGGTCATTGAGGCTGCTCAAGAGGGGGTGCAAATGCATTAACGATACCATGCCTTCGCCATACGTCGATGAAGATGGTACTTTGTTGCTAATCAGATATGTGATTGACCCGATACTGTCTACTACTCACTGAGATGCATTGGCGGCATCTCAATGAGATGACAGGAAATAGGCCCGAACCCATGCCGACGGCAATCTTGCGTCTCAACATGAACTACGGTGGCACATTACTCAAAGGTCATAACCAAGCCAATTCTCCGGTAGATGACCAGGTCGGTGGAGACGGTCCGGGGTATTGAGCTACTGCTGCGGCCCTACTGTGCAGGTTGTTACGGCCATGTGGTAGAAGGCTTGAGTAATGCGATGAGATGGCCGAGCAAATGCCCGGGGATATTTTCCCCATCATGGTCACGATAGCGCAGGTGAGTATGTAATCGCGCCGTCGATAACCGTGATAAGAGAGATTATATCGAGTCCGTTTTTCGGCGTGGAGGGGTGAATGTCCTCCACTGGCATGGAACGTGCACGAGCTAGTCCTAGCGTGTCATACGTCATTTCCGGTTTGGCGGCGGGCAACGCTTCAACTCAAAATTAACTGCTCCCAAAGCGCCGCTGGATTAACATTGCCGTGTCTGCTTATTGTGCATTGCCACTTGAATTTATCCATAGAGGCCTCGTACCAAATAAGCACCGCCACCATGTCGCTCGAGAAGATCACGACCATCTCTCCCATCACCAACAAGCCAATCGTCACACGCAATGGCCTCTCAGATGCTGATTTGCAGTCTCTCCCTGAGACGGCTGCAACGGCATTTGAGTCCTATCGACGCACGCCACTCTCTGAGAGGCAGGCGATTGTCAAGAAGGCCTTGAAGCTGCTAAATGAGCGCCAAGATGTTTTGGGTAAAGAGATCACAGAACAGATGGGTCGCCCCATTGCCTATACTGCCAAGGAGGTCAGCACGGCGGTTATGCGCGGCGAGTACCTGCTCAAGATTAGCGATGAGACGCTCAAGGACACGGACGGCGAACCAGAAAAGGGCTTCAAGCGCTACATTAAGAAAGTCCCGCTTGGTCCCGTGTTGATTCTATTTCCGTGGAATGTGAGTTGTGGCCAAGGGTTACATTCAGTCTTGCACTTGCTAACCATACCTGTAGTACCCATATCTGACCCTCATCAACTCGCTAGTGCCTGCTCTGCTTGCAGGAAATTCCGTCATTTTGAAGCCATCGCCACAGACGCCAACGAGTGCCGAGCAGATTCAGCAAATCTTCAAGGAAGCTGGCCTTCCTGATGGTGTGCTTCAAATCTTTCACTGTGGATCCGTCACCCAGATTGAGTCGATTGCACGGTCGCCAAAGATTCAGCTTGTTTGCTTCACCGGATCAGTAGCCAATGGTCTCGCTATTCAGCAAGCTGCAAATGACAGGATTCCACTCCGAATAGGCCTTGAGCTAGGAGGCAAGGATCCTGCTTACGTTCGTTCTGACGTTGACGTCAAATGGGCTGCTGAAGAGCTCGTAGATGGTGCAGTCTTCAACTCAGGTCAGAGTTGCTGCAGTGTTGAGAGGATCTACGTGGACGAGAAAATCCACGATGAGTTTGTATCAGCACTCCAAGAGGTTCTCAAGGGATACAGGCTCGGCGATCCATTCGACAAGAACACGCATGTTGGCCCCGTGGTCTCCAAGAGATCTGCAGAGACTATCCGTGAGCACGTCAAAGACGCTCTGGAAAAGGGAGCCAAGGATGCTACCCCGGAAAATACAACATTCCAGAATCCGCCCGCAGACGGCAACTATGTCGCTCCGACCCTGCTGACAAATGTCAACCACGAGATGGTAGTGATGACCGAGGAAACATTTGGTCCTGTTATTCCGGTCATGAAGGTCAAGAATGACGCAGAAGCAATCAAGCTTATGAATGACAGCCAATTTGGACTTACAGCTAGCATTTGGACTAAGGATGTCAACAAAGGCCATGAACTCGCCGATGATGTTGAGGCTGGTACCGTCTTTGTCAATCGATGCGATTACCCCGCACCAGTAAGTCGCTTTATCGCCACAGTCATAGGAATGCATGCTGACAATTTTAGGACCTGGCATGGATTGGTTGGAAAGACTCTGGCCGAGGTCAGACTCTCAGCAGGTTCGGCTTCGACCAGTTCGTTAAGCTCAAGAGCTACCATGTCAAAGATTACCCAAAATAGATGCAGCATCCGAGGCACGTTGCAGGCCTGTTGTCTGTCAAGAGTGCTCGCCGCTGAGATGACATGTAGTGCTGCCATAGCTATGCTTCAATGCAATCAATCTCGCAAGGAAATCACTAAACACCACTCACGACTTTGGACCAGCGTGACGATGATTTCAAGTGAATTGACGGACACCAGATTGTCAACGTTATCGTTGCAAGAGCACAGATATAAATGCTCGCAATGTGTTCTTGCGTGTAATCACGTGAATACGCATCTTGAAACAACAATACTTTGTTGAAAATCTTATGTGCCCTACTAGCGCCTTAACAGGTGCTCTCTCATCTCCACATTCTGCTGGCACCAGCTGATAATCTTAGATCGGTACGGGAAGAATAAATCAAAGAAATCAATCTCAAACAAGACTAAAGTTTGTGATCCACAAGGGTCGTGACTCGGGCAGCCAAGATTAGAGAAAAGCTTGTCACACCATGATAACTTCCACGCGAACCCTGGTTTCCGTATCCATTTTCTGCACTTTTTTTAGTTGTTTAGTTTTACTTTGCAGATCAATTTTTTCCGGTGCCTGTGAATACAAGCACATCACCGATCGAACTCAAGCCATTTTTTCCGCTCTTTCTTCCAGGTCTTTGTCGCGCCTAGCTTCCCGGCACAGCGCAATTCCCTTTGTACCGAGGCCTATGTTTCAGCGTCTGTGCCCCCCATACCTGGCTCCGGCTTTGGAAATCCCAACCTGGCGTTAATTGGCAGATACCGACCATCTATCTATCCATTATTACTGATCCAGATCTGTAATTTGTTGCTTCTTCTCCAGTAACTAAGCACATACGCTGCAACCTGTTTTCAACCCCACACTTCTACAGCAATGACATCCATGTCTATGGCTACTGTGATGCAACATGTGTTTCCCTGTTTTGCTCCACGGACTAAGAGGGCTATGGTCATTGTATGTTCACCATTTCTATTTTGCTAACTTTTGTCCTACCAGTTATATGCGTGGAGTATCATCACATTTTCTAATGTAATGTATAGGGCGCACCGACAGATGTACGACATTTAGACATCTCAGAATGCATCCCCGGTCTTACAGAGGCGCAATGTGAACAAATTCGGAGCAAGGCCAGAGGCAATAGCATAAGTTTACTCGACTTCGGACTTGATGTGCTACCGTATCCACCCAGTCTTGCTACTCGGGATATATCGACGCGTGGGTCTGGATCTGAAGATGAAGGTTGCTGGGGGAAATCAAAGTCTTGTCTGTCTTTGAACGACTCGTTGGTGAATGATGCAACGAGGAAGTCGCCCGGTGATGTTACGATACCGCCGCGGGCGGCACGTAAGAGGAGTAGCATGATGGAATTAAAGATGGAAGATATGGTGGAGAACGAGAAGCAGTCTCGTGGTGTCAGTGACTAGGATGTGATCAGGTACGAGACACTACCTGGCGAAAAAAAAAAAGAATCAGAGATGAGAAGTGTAAGGGGTTTGGAAGACCAGATCCATTCTTCACAGGAGAGGAGGGCAATAAGTTGCAAAGACACAGTAATCGCAGAGCGAGATCAAAAAGTGAAAAAGCAAGGGTTTGCACAGGTTGCAAAAGCGTTTCATCGACAGGTCTATTCAGGAAATAAAGCACCTAATGTATTTTTTTATCAAGTTCAAAAATCTACATCTTCAATCAAGATGATCATCTCATAGGCTCCAGAATGATGTTATCGAGTAACCGGACAGGAACTTGATGACCCTCAGCGTCCAGCCGGCCCAAATCTTCTTTGTCTGGCTGTGGTTCTTCAACCGGCAGCATCTTCACCACACCACTCAGAATGGCACCCTTGCTGTCGTCAATCTGCTCGATTTCTTCCATGGTATCTGGGTCTGCAAGGCTAATGTAGTCGACTTCAAACTTCGCGCGCTGGCTCGGCTCTAGCTGCTCTTGGTCAAGGAGAGTCATGTTTGTGTGATCAAACGCAGGCCACAGGACATCATTTCGCAGGCGCATCCCGTTCTTGTACTTGAGCTCTGCCTTGCGAAGTGCTTGGTTGAGAACAATAGCCACATTGCGACGACGGGTACCCAGGTAGACGTTGCGGGACGAAAGAGCAAGACCGTCGGACTCCCTCGACGTAGGTACTATACGCAGATCCATGTCGAGGTGGAAGTCTGTGATCATCCGTTTGATGACGCGAGTCTGCTGGACGTCTTTTTGGCCAAAGTAAACGCGATCTGGGGCGCAAATGTTGAAGAGCTTCATGCATACGGTTGCTACGCCGCGAAAGAAGACGGGCCTTGATGCACCCTCGAGAATTTGACCGAGCGGGCGCATCTCGACAAACGTTCCTACGCCAGGGATGCTGCTATCGGGCGGCAGGGTGGGATACATAGTTTTAGTTTCTGGTGCGAAGACGGCCGTGACTCGTCCTTGGCCTGAGCTCGCCAGCTCTTGGTTCAGCTGTTCTACTATGCGCAGGTCTGACTCCCATGTCTTTGGGTACGAGTCCAGATCCTCATTCAGGCCGAATTGGGTGGGGTTCACGTAGATTGTAACAAAAACGTCGGTGTTTTCAGCTGCGGCATGGCGCATGAGCGAGATATGGCCCTCGTGCAAAGCGCCCATCGTGGGTACTAGCCCGACAGTACGCTGATTGAGGCGCAACTCCCGCCGGAAGTCGCGTAAGGGAGCGACATGGCGAAAGACATGGGGTTGAGGATTCGAGGACGAGGTGTTGCATAGACTCGGGGATCCGGAGAAGAAGCGGATACCGTTACTTGTCCTCAAAGCTTGCAATGGGCGCGAAAACTTGGCCAGGAGATACGAGCGTGCTGTCGGTACTGATCTTGGTCAGCTCAATGGCTCAGTACCGTAGTGCAAGGTTGTATTCACCAGATGCTAACCGGAGTGGTGACATTGCGGGGAGTTGCGGAGGTGTCGCTCGGAGCAAGACTGGACTTAGCTATCGAGTCGCGCGACGAACCAAGCGGACGATGCAACTTCTCGCGCGTAACGTTGAGATGGATGAATCATGGAGAAACGGTGAAAAGGCTGCCATGACTTGCAAGATTTGAGAATGGACAAGACGTCTGGTTTCTGCGCTGAAGGTAGCATCATGGGTGCACACGTACGGCCGCATCAGGTTTAGTGCCCCACTAAAAAGATGGAAGTCGAGATTTCGCATTCTGTTGCAATCGACGACCGACGCCCCGCTACTTTCACGACCGGCGACGGCGATACAGCGCAGACATGGGCGACGATGGCATGCTCCTCAACTTTTCTATTCCGGAAAGCGGGATTATTGCAAAGCCAACTTTCAAGGGCGGCAACTGGAAGAGCAGGCTTACAGCAAAGAAGGCGGCGCAGAACTGGCACACCAAGGCGACAGCACGATTGAACGGCGAAACAGTACCCAAGAAGAAGGTTGAACATGCCACAAATGTGAACCGCACAGAGCTGGGCCCGCGCACACCAAAGCCCGTCGACGATTCCGACCTGCTCGACCATGGCGACAGACATCCAAAGCGAGCGCGCGTGAGCGGAGAATTTAAACCGAAGGCGGCTGAAAAGACTGCAGACCCCAACTTCAGGCCGCAGTCGAATGCGAATGCGACAAAACGTCCTGGCGAGCAGCAGAGTGCACCAAAAGGAGGCAAGCAGGTCATATCTTCGTTGTTTACCTACAATCCCACTTCCACCACCAAGCCGGAAGCAACCCAACCACGCGAAGACGATGCACCCGTCGAACCCTCGAATGCGCCCCTCAGCAGTGAACTCCACACATTCACTTCACTTGGCATGTCCACAACGCTTGCTAGCCATTTGCTCAACAAGATGGACCTGAAAGCGCCGACAGCCATTCAGAAAGCCGCGATAACACAATTGGTCAAGGACGACTCGGATGCTTTTATACAAGCCGAAACTGGTTCCGGAAAGACGCTGGCTTATCTTTTGCCCATTGTGCAGAGATTAATGGACTTGTCGGCGAACATGAAGAAACGGAAAGTCGATGAAAACGTGCAGAGAAATTCAGGCCTGTTTGCTATCATCCTAGCGCCAACGCGAGAACTGAGCAAGCAGATTGCCATGGTACTGGAAAAGATACTTGGGTGTGCGCATTGGCTGGTAGCCACGACGGTCATTGGTGGTGAGAAAAAGAAGTCGGAGAAGGCTCGTTTGCGAAAAGGTATCAACATCTTGGTTGCAACACCGGGTCGACTGGTGGATCACTTGGAGCACACAGAAGCGCTGGACGTGAGCAATGTCAGGTGGCTGGTTCTGGACGAAGGAGATCGTCTGATGGAACTTGGTTTCGAGCAAGAGATTCAGAAGATTGTCGGTGCTTTGAACCTACGAATGCGCGCGAGGAAAGACGAAAAATCGCGGATACCAGGGCTTCCAGAGAAGCGAACCACAGTACTCTGTTCCGCAACCATGAAGATGGATGTTGAGAGACTGGGTCAGATAAGTTTGAAAGACGCTGTGCATCTTCGAGCCGATCCGTCAGAGAAGGGACCAGAAACAAGCGAGACAAGCAGGGATACCACTTTCTCCGCACCCGCACAGTTGAAGCAATCATATGCTGTCGTAGCGCCTAAGCTGCGACTGGTATCGCTGATTGCCTATCTGAAGCGCGCTTTTGCACGAAAAGGCTCCGTGATGAAGGCAATCGTCTTCATATCGTGTGCCGACTCTGTCGACTTCCACTTTGACATGCTCACTAGCGATCTTGAAGGAAAAGAAGAACAAAAGGAGGAGGATAAAGAAGACTCGAACGACGATGAGGTAACAAAAGACGATAAGAAATCCAGCAAAAATACCAAAGCGATACAGTCAGATCCTACAAAACTCGAAGTAACTAGTGCAGTAGCGCCGATATTATCAGCAAAGACACATTCAGTAACAGCATACCGTCTCCACGGTTCCCTCCAACAATCCCTCCGAACATCGACACTCGCACAGTTTGCAAAGAACAAGGAACCCTCTGTCCTCATCGCTACCGACGTCGCCTCTCGTGGTCTCGATTTGCCAAACGTAGATTTAGTCATCGAGTTCGACCCTGCTTTTGCACGGGAAGACCATTTGCACAGAATCGGCCGTACGGCTCGTGCGGGTCGTGATGGACGCGCATGTATTTTCCTCATGCCCGGCTCCGAAGAAGGCTATGTCGATATCCTCAAATCCGACCGCAAGGACACCGAGGCGGGCATTCATATTGCACGTCAAGACGCAGACGATATTCTCAACCGTGGTCTTGTCACCAGCGGTGTCATGGAAAAGAATGCTTATATGGACAAAGCAACAGATCTTCAGCTCGCCATTGAACGCTGGGCTCTGGCTTCTCCTGCCCGCCTCGAATCTGCCCGTCGCGCGTTCCAGAGTCACATCCGTGCCTACGCTACGCACGTTGCTGATGAACGCAAGTATTTCGATATCAAAGCTCTTCACCTGGGCCATTTGGCTAAGGCTTTTGCTCTGCGTGAACGACCTAGCGGCATGAAGGTTCCGGGTCAACGAACTGGTGCTGGTCGTAACGACAAGACGCCTGCCAAGGTCCGTGGCGGAGCAAGGGTAGATGGCGCAAGTCGTAAGGCTGCTACTGAGTCGGGTGTCTCGACGAGGAAGAAGGTCGATCTGGATCTACCAGAGGGTCAGGATACGGATGAGGCGGCGAAGATGAGGAAGGCAGTTAGGGCAAGGGAAAAGTTTATGCGTCATGCTGGTTTAGCAAGCGAGTTCAACTTGGGTTAACGAGGATTCAAAAAACTCAGGCCTAATAGATTTAGAAAGAAAGTTATGTTATTTTGAATAATTACTCAACATTTGAGTAACATGTCCCATTGTGTGTCGTTACCTAGAATTTCCACCCCTAAAGAATAATCTTCATCCGCAACGACAAACACACGACTACACATTGTTATCCCAACGTCATCCGCTCAGTACCCCCCTCCTTCCTACGAAACAACACCCGAACCCTATCCCACGCCTTCCTCACCCTCGCCCCAAACTTTGTCTTCCCTACAGGCCCCACAGCCTCCCTCCTTAACTCCTCATACTGCTCCTCACTATTCAGAGTCGGCACACCGCAGCACCGTCGATTCGTGGTGCTAATATGTCCACACGTTATATCGGCACGCTCAATACGCTGTACAGGCAGTAAGTGTGCAGTCTGCAGTCCGAGCGTCTCAGTCGTGGTGAAAGGGTAGGGATCCGTTTCCCTGGTGCGCTGAGTGTAAAGGCTTCCACTACTGTTTTGGTTGCGCGGGTCATCGAGGCAGGAATGCTCTGGACTACAATTGTTTCTACGGCTTACTTGGTAGCATCGGGGGAAGGGTGAGAGTTGCGAGCGGGACTTGGAGAGCTCGGGGCGCTCGTCACTTTCGGGTAAGGGTCTTAGCTGGTGGGGTTGAGGATGCAGATTTGCGTCCAGTACGCGTAGAAGAGCGGGGATATGTGGTGTGAGTGGGGGAGATGGTTGTTGCTGGGGAGAAGGGGTTTTTTGTCGCTCGACAGTGTAGATTTGGAGGGATGATGGGGTTGGAGGCAGTGTGCCTGGAGAATTTGTCAGTAAATGCCTAGATCCCTCTTGCGGGTAGAGATGGTAAGGCTTACTTTTTGCTTTGCGGTGCTGTGCATTGTCCTTCGCTAGGGTGGACGTAGGAACCGGTGTGCTTGCTCTTTCTACCTTCCTAGCACTACGTCGCTCTGCCTCTGTCTCTTCGTTCTCATCAGCTTCTTCCTCACCATCTAGGGTGCTCCGACTTGGCATCCCAAAAAGCGGCTTGGTAAGGTCCCATTGCAGCTTCGGAGCATTCATTAGCACTGGTGTCTTTCTTCCTTTCTGTGGTCCCAACACCTCTGGTGTACCCCTGGTATGGGAAGTCTCATTAGCTTCTGCTTTACGCTGGTATGGGTATGGGGTCTGAGGCCTCGGAGGTATTTGCGAGTTCCTCGCTCTGATTGATCGGCCATCGCCTTTGGAAGAAGTTGTGCTTGCAGGCCGTGAGGAAGGTAGAGCGGTCTGATTGGGGAAGCCCACATTGTTGTGTGGTGAGTATTTGTTAGAATACTCTACTGGCCCGGGCGTGGCGTCTTCAAAATCCCAAAGTTTACTATGAAGGGCTTCGTAACTGCTCTGTGGTTGGCGGTAATATGAGGGTTGACGTGCAAGCTGCGATGCATCTGGTGGGGTATGGGCTAGGCTAGGCGGAAGAACTATTCCTGAATCCATGGATGGTCCCTCCTCGAAAGCGTGTGTCGATTCAGGTGGAGACATGACGTGTAAAGGCTGTTTAATTGTGCTGCAGGTTGAAGTCTTCTTTGTGCAAACGGAAAGTGTGAAGCTAACTCTGTCCTGAAAATGTGGTGAAGGGAATGTGGACTGAAATACAGCACGTTGGATATTGGAAAACATGTGAATAAAGCAGTCCTTGAAGTGAACCAAGGTTCTATTCCAACTGCATACTCTGGTTACTATTGCACGGCCGCATTACCCTCCATGTCCCTGACTGGTTCTTCAGGAACCGCATAAATGGGCACCTGACGGCTGGGACTTCCCAAGGGAATCTCTTTTCCTTGCATCGAATTGTCGGATTTCAGAGCATGTATTGTCGACATGCTATTCGCTGCTTCACCTTTTGCTGGCATAGTGGCAGGCGCTGATTGGCCACCTTCGGATGGATTGTGGGGATCGTAACCTGGCAGATGTGTACCTGGGGAAGCATGATTCGATATGGGTTCCCGAGAGGGACCATCGCTACCATTCGCCGTAGTCTCATCTCGCGGTTCTGTGCGTTGTCCGTCTGCAGGCGTGTTTTGCCCAGAACGCTCCTCATCATCTGTTTTGGGCGTGGCACGTTTTTGCCGCGCTCGTGCAATCAAGTCCTCGAATTCTGTTCTATGCGATTTCGCATACCCTTCGCCGTCAAAGTCCTTCCTCATGATCGCACTCTCCTTGTTGTTCGATTTACCACCCTGAGTCTGTTCCCACTCGTCTAATTCTTTCAGTAACTGTCTGTGACTCTTCCTCAGGCTATCATGGGCGTCGCAATTCGAATTGAAGATGTTGATCCACTCTATATGTCGCCTCTTCATTAGGTCTTTGGTACCCCAATTGGGGATGCCAATTTCCTGTAGCTTTTTCCGTAGTGCGGTCTCTTTCATCATAGCATAATTGAGTTGCGATAATCTTATTGGCGGAGGCGAAGGGTCTTTTTTTCGTGCCTGTAACGCGGGGAAGGCTGGTTTTATTCTGATAGCAACAAAGTCAGTCTCTTGCTATGCAAGGCTATATCTGTGCTAAACGTACCTTGACCTGGTATTACGCCCCGGCGACACATTTGGTCCAGTGCATGTATCCAGGTGGTTATAGACTAGCTCTTCCTTCATGGCGCGATTGCAGACTGGGCACTTGACCATACCATCGGGGACAAAATCTTCGTCACCGTCATCTTCGCTATCAGCGATTACAGCAGGCGATGCTGCTCTGCCTCCGTTGCGCTGGCTTTTGCTCCGGGTTTGTCGAGACCGAGTATGCCTGACATTCTCATCTTCCTCTATATCTGTGTCTTCTATTTTTCTCTTCTTTCTGCGACCGCCCTTAGCCTCCTCTTCTTTGTCGGCACACGCTAACTCCAGCGCTTTCGGTCTCGCCTCTTGAAACCGCATCACTACTTCTCTGACAGCAATATTTGGTGCTAATTTGTCGCTGGAGCATCCTGTCTTGCAGCTCGGACATTTCCCATCCGACGCAATGCATCTTCGTATACATATCGAGCAGAATGTGTGGGAGCAGGACGTGATGACGGGGTTGTGGTAGAACTCCTTGCAGACCTCACAGCGCAAGGCGGCTTCGAGCGGTTCGAAGGCGGGTAAGGACGTTTTGATCCAGTCGGTGGAGTCCGGAAGATCAAAGGAAGAGTCCATGGGTCTATTTCAGACAGGAAGCGCCTGGTTTGAGCGAATGTTGATAGGCAGACAAGTTTGGCCGGGGTCAGACGCGACTCCAGTCGCGTATGCGTCATCACGTGATGACGCTTGGAAATTAGCTGCCTCTCCCTTGCCACCTGTCGGCCGGGGTCCAGCAGTCAACGGTAAAGTAGGTTGCTTTGTAGTGATGTTGCGCCTTTCCACCATGCTAGTGGATTTAGTATGTCAAACAAGAGCCCGTATTACCTGTGAACGCCCGGGTTGAACATTCGAGTGAGAGAGGGCGGAAGTGTTACTAATACTAGCACAAGCACATCACTTCAGAACAAAGGCAAGCGCTGATTGTGTCTCTTTCACTCCTTCAATCACTGAACAATTAAGAGATTCATGGTTTGATAGTAATACCGATTTGATCTTCGTGGCTATTCGGTCTGTTCTTCGAATTGAATTGTCGACTATCAATCTACCCAACACCAGGCAATCACGTTGTTTCAGTGTTGGCTGCAGGCAAATTCGACTCTTCTTCTGCCAATCCCCTGTGCCATACTCATATCCAATGTCGACTGCATTCGTTGCAACTGTAAGTAAGGATGTAGCCTTATCTCCATAAAATCCAATGCGAAGTCGCCAATCTCTGAAACGACAACTTTGCCATAGCTCATTGTTTGTTGATTGCAAACCCGAGAACCTTTATGGAGCCATATACGGAAACAATTGGCTACTTTCTTAGACCCTGAACACGGTGCTCTTGCTCTTGATACCATCGAAAACACAAGTGTTGTCGACAGGAACATACTGCTCAGTGATCACCTTGATGATCTCCTGTGAGACCATACCGCCCGCTAAAGCGCCGATATTGTGCAACTCAGCACCACCAGCTCGCGCACTGCCGAATAGTCAGTTTGATATCTTCTATAGCTGTCCAGATGGCTTCGCATAGAGACTATCTGATAGTGAGTTTGGTGTTGCTATGTGTACTTACAGCTCACGTGCATAATCCCCAATCTGTGATCGGATGGTTGCATACTCGTCCTCCTCAATTGAAGCATTAGCTTCCTTGATCAGATCATCAGCGATCTTGAGAGCGATTCCAGTCAGCTTTTCTGAGTCAGCGTCCGGGTTGATTTCTCCGGCAACTTGAGGCGCCCCTCCTAGGCCGTCTTTATTATGCGTTGCAGCAAACTCATCCCAGGCTAGGAAGGCAATGTAAAGAGGGATCTGTGAGTCGGGGAAAGTGAGCGTCTGAGCTGTGGGTTGTTAGCTCACTCGGCAGTCTCTCAAATCTGCACACTTACCAATTGACTTGGCGCGATCGCCCCATTTGATCTTTTCGTTCGCTTGCACTATATGAAACGGTCGACCGCGCACTAGTTTGATGTGTGCTGCGTTCTTGCAGAAAGTCTCAATGTCCTTCTCGTCGATGGGTACGCTGCGATTAGCATTGCGCTCCAAAAACCGTACGCTCTCCACTACTTCCGCTAGGTCGCGGCGCGCTTTGGACTTGTACACATTCTGCAACTGGATGTAGTCTGCTGAACGAGCCTTCATGTCCGGCACAGAGCCAGGGACTGGTAGGACATTGTATTTTGTATAAAACAAGCCAATGGCGTTTGCGATAACCCAGAAGCTTGGTGAGTCTTGGCGAACCAGAAGGCACTCTGGCGCTGTAAAAACCTCCTTGACGGCGCTGCTTGCCTGTGGTGGATTGAGAGACTTCAGGACAGCTGCCACTGCCTCATCAAAATTCTCTTCTCCGCCTTCTGGGTTGTCTGTGCGTGCAGCTTGCGATACGGAAGCCCTGAACTCTGTCTTTTCTTTGTAAGTTTGTGGCACCGCTCCCCCATGTTCCTTCTTCCACTTTTCTAGGTAATGCAACAGCAGCGCTATCCATGGCACATGGCCATGGTCTTCAGCCTTCATGTTCTCTAGATCGGCCGTTTTTTCTTCTGCATATTGTACTAGCTCTGGCCACGGCCGCAGTAGTCGCAGGTCTGATGTGGTTTCGGGACTAGGGTGTGTGTCCACGATGGGAAACGCTGGAGGCAGATGGACGGAGAAGTGAGCGTAAAAGCCAACCGAGTGTAGGTAGAAGAGCGGGACGAGCGCAGCGCTTGCATGGCTAGACAGCTTTGTGAGTACATCGGGGCGGATAGGCGCGGTCGCAATGATCAAGGAGTACGGTTGCAGGACGTTGGGCTGTGATAGCCACGACTCGATAGGCTGGGTCCATTAGCGGAAGATCAGAGACGAACTGTAAAGCGTGGTTGTACCTCTGTGATGAAGTGACCCTGTACATCTGGATTCAGCTCCTTGAGCAGATTGCACGTGTGTTCTGCACGGAAGCCTCCCAAGTGTTGGTCTTCCAGGAAGAAGTTCACGCCTAGATCTGCTTCATTGACGACGGCCGAGTCTTGAATCGTGAAGTCGCCAATGCATGGCAGGACAAGGTTCTTGAGTGTTTCTATGCCAACAACGCCCGGCCCTGAGTTTATGAGGAGAATATGGGAGCTCTCGAGTGCAGCTTGGCCTGTAGCTCCCCAGAGGCGTAGCTGACGATCGTACCTATTGCGGTCAGTACGTGGTAATGCCGTCTAGGAGCAATAAGGTGACATACTTCTTCTCCTTGGCAGTTGGGCCTTGCACGGGCGGAGGGAGATCTGCCATTCTCGCGGATTTTCTTTTATTTTCTTTTTCTGGCAGCGGCCGAGAGAAATGACAGAGGGATGTTTGTTACCGCTGTTAGAGCTGCCAGGCACCGGACGCGCTTGAGCTGTCGGCTCGCGCTAGGCGTGACCCCTGCCGCGGGGTATTCCAATGGCGGGGCACAACAGCGTCATCTTTCGCCGCGCGCCCCATCGCCTTGTCACGAGCAAATCATTCACTTGCATCCTCCGGCATCGTCTAGATTCGTTGCTGAACATCTCAGGCTCTCAGCTACATTGTACGTCAGAGCCCAGAGGAAGGCTAGCGAACGTATGCCGGCCCATGCCCTGGAGACCTCTACCCGTCTGCACTGCCAGTATAAATCAGCAAGCGCGCAGCATCAGTCATCTCAAGCCTCCACTACCCCTCCAAAATTTATCGCTCCCTAGATTGGCTGTACATCCATCCCGTGCCTACACCACCGGCAAGTCTCTTCTACAAAAATCGCTCCGTCAACCCTGTCTGCCATCTTCAAGGCATTTTCATAACACTACATCACTCGAAACAGCAAAAACCATGACCGACACAAACGTCGAGGCTGCCAAACGCGCGGCTGCACAGCAGGCCGTAGCGGACCACTTTGATCCGGCGGCAACCCATGTTGGAATTGGATCCGGCACCACCATTGTCTACGTCGTCGAGGCTATCAAGCAACGGTCGACCAACCCCAACATTCTCTTCGTCCCTACCGGCTTCCAATCGCGCCAACTGGTCGTCAATGCCGGACTCACTGCCATCTCCTTTGACAGCCTCCCCGACCACGTCATGCTCGACGTAGCATTTGACGGCGCCGATGAAGTCGACGCAGAGCTCAACTGCATAAAGGGAGGAGGCGCGTGTCTGTTCCAGGAGAAGCTAGTCGCTGAGCGCGCCAGAAAATTTGTTTGTGTCGCAGACTACAGAAAAAGACAGGACCGCCTCTTGACAAACTGGCCCACCATCCCTATCGAGGTCGCCCCCCTGTCTCAGCTCAAGGTCGCCGGCGCGCTGAGGATGCTGGGATCAACAGGCCCCAAACTAAGGACGACGCTACTGGAGAAGTCAGGGCCCCTGAAGACGGACCAGGATTTTTACATTATTGATGCGCCTTTTCCCCCATTGCTTACATCCGCGGATGTAGCAGCGGGTAAAGGAAAGGGTGACGGTACGGACGGTACGTGGGAGGTCAACACCCTGAGCAGGGCTATCAAGGGTCTTACTGGTGTCCTCGAGGTTGGCATTTTCTCGGGCCTAAATGGCATCGATGCACAGGCGCTACGTGAGCAGGACCAAAGCACAAAGACTGTCCGCGGCGGCCAGAAGCCCGTCGCCGTCTACTTTGGCATGCAAGACGGAAGCATCAAGGTGCGCACTATCGAGGGCGAGACATAAAAAACAGAGCTGAGCGCGGAGAATTCTGGCCAAACACTAAGCCAGGTGGTAAAACAACGGCCGAAATCTACACAGCAAATACATTTCTGTTCTTCCTTGACCAACTATCTGCAATGACGCACACTCTCTCCCGTAGCATTTCCACACATACAACATTGTTGCATCATCACAGCAGTCCTTCAAAAGGCAACATAAGCTTTATGTCATGGTCATATCAAGCATGATTCATTCATATCTCTGTCAAAAAATGGTTGAAGAAGAAGAAGAAGAAGAGAAAAAAAGAATATAAGACATAAGTCTGCTCCCTATTCTACATTGCTTTCCTTCCCAAAGAACAGAGCCAATCACAAGGCTCGCGAACAAACAAAAGTTGTCGCAGAAACGTAAGAAGAATTTTGTTTTTTTTTTCCTCCAGAGAAAAAAAAAGCCCCCAACCTCAAGTTCCAAAGAATTGACCAATGATAAATGGCGTTGGCGTAAAACGTAACCCGTTTATTTCCTCTGATTGAACGCTTGCAAGTTCATAGCCGTAGTTATACACATCCTCCAGTCACGAGCTTAAATTTTGAAAAGGAAAAAAAAACTTAAGCCTGGTGCAGACGCCTCCTTGGGTGAAGATGAGCACGCTTCATGTAGCCCCCCGAGCTAGGGGTAGGTGTAGGAGTGGGCTCAGCTCCCTCAGTCACGTAGACGGTGGTAGTGACGATGACGAGGTCAGTCACGTAGACGCACCTGTATCCCTCGGGGCAAGGGGGCTGGGTAGGCTTGGGGCCACCAGCCGATGAAGGAGCAACGGTGATGGTGGAGATGGGGGCTTTGCTGAGGGTAGTGGGCTGCTTGGAGGGGGCTGGGGGAGGAGCAGCAGGGTAGTTGGTGGGCTCCATGAAAGGAGGGCTGTCATACTCGTCGTTGGCTGGGGCTGCAGGCGCGTCAGGGGTGGGAGTGGGCTTTGGTGCTTCGGCGACGGGCTTAGCAGGTGCAGGCACAGGCTTGTACTCGGAATCTTCAGGCTTGGTCTCAGGCTTGGGCTCAGGTGTGGACTCTGGCTCCTCCTGCTCCTTTTCGGATGAAGGCGCTGGCGTCTCCTTGGATGGCTCGGCAGGCTGGACCTGGTTGGGCATGATGAGGCCTACATCAATGGACTTCTTGGCAGGTGTAAGGTCCTTGCCCTTGTTGGGAGGGCCGACCCAGTTGCCAGCCTTGCACTGCGCACCAATATCGGTACACTTGTCCTGCCAGAGCTTGCAGTTCTTGCCACCAGTTGGGGGTGCGGAATCGTAGCATACATCGCTCTGAGCCCAGCAGTCCTCAGCGGCAGCCCAGCATCCCTTCTCATCCGTGTAGGATTGGACTTCCTTGGCACACCAGTTTGCGTTCTCCATGACGCAGCCCTGGGGCTTGAGGCCCTTTGTTTGGGCAGTGACGGAAGACTTACTCGCGCCAGCAACGAGCTTTGCGACCTTGGGGCCGGGCACAACGTACTTGGTGGCAGGAGTGTTGTAAATGTCAAAGTCGGTCGAGGGCTCGTTGTACTTGACGTATCCGGGGATAGACACAGTGGACTCGGGAACGAGGTTGCCGGTGCTCTTGAGGAAAATTTGGGCACAGCCAGTGTAGAACTGTGGGTCGCCGTCTTTGGCAGCATGGAGAGCAAGAATCTCAGGACGAGCGAGGTAGTCGCCCTGCACAAGGTTCTCGGGGAGTCTCACAGAAAGAAGGCCGTTGTTCGCAATGATCTTGTCAGTGCACCATTGCTTGGAATCAGCGTCATAACCGTGGTCAAAGATCTTGAACCAGCCATCACCAGCAGCAGTGTCAGTGGTGGCATCCTCGACCTTCTTCAGGTAGACAGCACAAGGACCCTTGTGGCCGGGATCAAGGCGCTCCTTTGATGGGTCATCGGGCCACTCGCGAATCTCAAAGGTAAGAACGGAACCGTCCTGGACGGGCTGGGTACGCGACACTCCTTTGGTACCCTGGACATCTAGCAAGTTTGGTCAGACATGATACACTGAAGTACCAAGATCAAGGGGACATACTGCAAGCCATGTCAGTGCTATCAAGACTGCCAATGGGGGAGCTAGTGTGCTCTCCTGACGGGTTCATGCGAATAGCAACACCATCACCCTGACAATTGTTAGTACAAGTCGCATTCAAGACAAGCGACACTGTATACCTGAGGCACGCCGTCAACGTAGAAGTCAGTAAAGACAGTGTGGGCAAGGGCAGCAGGGGCCGAGGCCAGGGCCGCGAGAAGGATAGATTGGGTCTTCATGGTATTCGATGCTCAACAGTTGACTTGAAGGACAGAAAACAACGTGTTTTTGGTAAGTTAGACTCGAACCGGAGGTTGCAAGGGCTGGTCACTAGGACTCAAGGTAATGAATGAATGTGCCGAGCTAGCGACAGTGAAGGAATGAAACAGGCCACAAAGAGCCTTTGAAAGAGAGACAGACAACAAGTTGGATTTTTCGAGTCCTTGTGGGGTGAGGAAAGGAAGAGTAGGGGATGACGGGGCCTTTTTACTGCTCCATCACACCCGCCGCTGAGCCTAGGCCGGGTGATGGGCATGGGCGGATGAGTGATTTCCACCCGGTTGCTACCTGCGGGCGGCGCATGGCTTGGCGCCCTTGGAGGCCCTGCGACACGTCTGGCGGGCGTGTGCAGCGGAGGGTGATTATTTTCCTTTAGGAGGGAGGCTTGGTTGCGCAGGATGCAGTCAGTCTCGAACCTTGTCGGCCACTAAGCTGAGAGATGAGGTTGTGCCTCTGAAACATGAAACACAAACGAAGACTATTAGCGAGCGGCCTAGGCCACATTCCGCAATGGTTTGCCCGCTAGGTGGCGTCCTTGCAGACGGCGCCAAGTCAGGTACCAGGCCTCTCATTTCAACTCTCTCGCCCCATCGCCCCTCGTACACGGTCATCGGCAGCCCCAAGGCGTGTTGAGGCGCCGCTTGTATAACGTCAGGAGCGGGGGGGCGGTTATCGATATGGAGCGGCTGTCTTCTCGAGCCGCGCAGATCCAGCCCCCGGGCGCGCGCTAGGAACTTCAGGTTGCTGTCGACTTTTTTTTTGGTTCAGGAGGTCTCGTTATATTAACTTGGCGCTTGCAGAAGGCGAGCCCACATCATCGCTGCTAAGGCCGACTCTCATTTCGCCAGTCCTCCTCCCATCGCAAAGATCCGTCTGTGACGCTAACAGAGAGGCCCGTCCTCAAATTGATTACTACCCCCGCTTCCGACGGCCGTGTTGGAGGCCAAATTTGCGCCATCTCCTTTGCTGCATCCAAAAGTAATGACATCGCCAATCCCCTCCTGAGTCCTTGGGCGCAAACGACGATAATCGCTGTTTCATCCCCTTCTACAACATGCGCCCCCAACTCCGGGTAACCGCTTGCTTTCGTTTTTTTCTTTCCCTTAGGCATACAGGGGTCGGCGCTCGTACTGCCCTTCACCCTGAGCCATGGCGCCGTACTGAATAAGGAAATGCTCGACAACGCGGACCGTTGGGGATGGGAACGACGGATGCAAACGTTGATTCTTCTAGCAGCCCCTTCAATATCCCATCTTCATATGCACGTGGAACCTGACATAATGTCAACTGCTCGTAACACCCCACCGCACCACTTATTCCGAACACCAAAATAACTCCATCTTCCGGTCTCCCGAGCCGCCGAGCATTCGGGTAATCGCCCAAACGTGGTTACGCTCGAAAACGAGTCTTGCCACTGCAAAATCTCCAGATGTTAGCTACGCAAATGAACCCGAACCTGTGCCACTACTAAAACAGCAAAATTCGGCCATATAACACAGGGTTCCCTACTGCGCCTCTACGGTGCACAGAAAAAGATTACATTGACTCGGAAGAGTAGATGGCTTGACTACTCAGCCATACATGGGTGGTTTGTACAGCGATGTGTGGGGCGCCTGCTGGTATTCATTGGAGACGCCGAGAGGTATGCTGGGAACAGGCTTTGGCAGACTTTTCTCTTCTTCCTCTGCTCTGTCTAGCACACCTTTGACAATTTCCCTAAAGTCCGCTGCGCTGCGGAACTTCGGCGGTATCTCACCGTACACGCCAGGCTTCACAACCCTTCGAGTGGCCCACTTCACATCCGTTACCTTGACCCCATATACGTCTCGAAATGACAATTTGCAAAAGCGTATCTCCACGCCCTCCGAGAAGGCCACGCCTTCGCGTTGTTGGTTCAGACAACACACTATCGCTGGTTCATAGCAATGGTGTGCATACGTAATTCCCATCTCGTTGAGTCCTCGTTCAACAGCACTAATCAGCCACCGACTGCCTCTTTTGGTAAGAAAGTGCAGCTTTTTGGAGTCGCCAAGTGAGTTGGTAGGTAATTGGCGATCGTAGAGAGATCTAGACTGACGACCTGCAACCCGCACAGTATTCATGTAGCGGTCTAGCTGCACAGCGTCTGTAGGATGGAAAAGTGGATCCCATGGAAGCGGCCAGGTGCTGAGGGATATCAGGGGTCCCACGAGAAATCCTTCGGACAATCTTAGTTCGTATCTCGGTCGAGGCTCGAGATTATATGCTGGCCGCCCCAAGGTAGTCGCTGGGATTGGCGTGGTGCTGGTAGATCTGACCAATTCGTACACACTCTTCTTGACATTCATCATCAACTTGTTCTTCTCCACAACATTTGCCAATGGAAAGATACTTGTTGGGTCAAGGTTAAGATTCAGAGTGGCCTCGATGCGCCTGAACCCGAACAGCCAGTGATCGATAAGAATTATCTCAGTTGCCACTCGTCGGGTACGTTCGCTGGTCGCTCCATAGCGGCCCACGGATCCTTCGTAAGCAACACTGTAGGCAAGCATGGCGTTTGTGTGTTCTTGAGTGTGTAAACAAAGGTCTCCTAGCCATCGCGCAGCAGCAATGTCGCCATCATCCAGATTCTGGTGATCGAGAAAGGTCCCATTAAAGACGCTTTCGAAGAGCTCCTTTGCCTTTGAAAACTTTCCTGTGAACGATGCGCATACTCCAAGCAAATGCTTGAGAATGCGGCGATCAGGTTGGGTACCAGATACACACCTCTGTCCGCGGTCGACAGCTGCTAACTGGTCCTCAAGGTGCTTTTCTGCACTGGCAAAGTCGTGGCGAGCCCATGCAGCCACCGTCTGATGCGCCGTCCAGTTGAGATCTATCGTAATAGATGTGCCTTTCTCGAAATATGACGGGGGCACGTCGCTGTCCAATGGAGGAGCAGTAATAGAGGGCGTTTGTGTTCGAGAAACAGGCGATGATGTAGATAGCGTTATATCAGGACTTTCTGTATTCGTCGCCCGGAGCAACCCGCTTGCACGAGGGACTGGCACGCGTGGAATTGTAATGGTATTAGGTCGAACAGAGGGGGTGGTAACCGCTGAGCGATGTGGCTCTGCATATAGCGAAGAGTGGTCTGAATCAGTATCCCGTGCCATGATTGGTAACGATGTAACAGAGTGCGCTTGTGAAGCTACTGAAGGAGTTGGGCTCATATGGACCCGTGGTATCGGTGGGCGGGGTACGGGAGGAGGCGTTCGTGATGGTGGCGACCAACTGCTCTCCAAAGGCGTGACGCTTGTGGGCATTTCCAGGCCGCTCGATGATTCTCCAACATTAATTTCGGGAAGCACCGGTCTAAGATCTTGCGACATTGAGGAGTATGGCTCATGCTCCGGTCGATCCTCAAGAAGTCTGCCTTCATTCACCGCAGCGACGAGCCAGTCTACAATGACATCGCGATAGCCCAAAGCTTGCTGCTGAGAAATGCCGACATCTTCCAAATCGCGGACGATTTGGCGCCATGCCTCGTCGTCATCCTCATTGTTGTCTTCCAGGGCGCCAGAAGTGAGTCGCTCAATCGAGGCAATGCTTTCTTCGCGATGTCCGCCTCTATAATCCTTTTCCAGTCTCTCCAAGGCCTCTAGTATCAGGACCTGGACATCGTGTATCAGGGAGGTATAGAAGGTGTTGAGCATTGCTACGCTCGCAATAAGTCGCTCGCGCAAGTTTCGCAAAGTGCTTGGGTCGAATTTAAGACGGTCCCACGCGCGCTTGCTCTTTGTATCGAGCCCATTGTAGTGCAACAGAACCTTGTCGAGCTCTTCCAAGACCTCGATGCATGGTGTGTAAGCCTCGATAAGCTGCTGCTGCTTACTTTCCGGTATCTTGTCGAACTTATCTTGTATGTCGTCGAGGAGATTGGTGAGACTGCGTGTTTCAGTTGTCAAGGTCTTGTACTCTCCAGGACAGTCGCGGCCTGCGTTTCGATCAGCATACTAGAAGTTTGCGGAGCTAGCAAATAACTGACAGTTTTTGTATACCCTCCCCGCTAGTTCACACACCTTGAGTATGTCTCCGAGACCGACGCCAAAGCTCATCGTGCTAGCTGATGGAATGCGTCCACACCGTGCCTAGGAAACAAATGAAGCGCCGCATCACTGGACGCATCGCGAGGTATGGCTGGATAGTTAAATTATGGACGGGGCTGGAAGGCTGGTCTATGTGGCTTGAAACGGAGGATTTGATTGGAATTGGGGGCGGAGAGCTCATGTCGCCCCATATTGTGAGGTCATGCGCATGCATGTGACCAAGCTGTAATGAGAAAACATCTTGTAGCCACATCATGACGTTGGATTCGCACCATCTTAGTCTTGTAAATGTTGTGGATATTCAATGCCAGAGTGTCTATGTAGATCATAGCGGAGCGGAGTACAGCACGACCCACAGCTGCCTGGGTTGTCACACATTCACAACAAGAGCAGCTTATCTAAGCAAAGCTGTGCCTCGGAGCACAACCATTTACTAGGCGATATCCTAGTAGCGCTACTTCAGACTAACTGAAGGTTGCATACCAAAGCGGCATTGCTGACATTGGGGGCGATAACGACGTTGCACCACTGGTGCAGCGCGGTAAGCCACCAGATACAACTCAGCCTTAGTACGTCCATAAATCTTTGAAGGGATCCTCGACACGTGCCCGTCTTGTCTACAGTAGAGCACAGATAGATTGTGCTACGTAAGTATTTGGCAGAACACGCATCTGACCACTCACATTCCTTTCACGTACACATCTAACCGACCCAACCAGCAGCGTATACAAGAAGACAAAGCAACGTATAATTTATTCATTTGTGTACACATTCCTCCCTACATTCCTGTCCCTGGTCTTTTTCCCCAAAACAAATCGCTTAAATGAAAGAAAAATAACTTGCCATATACCAGAACCAAGAAAAAACAAACGGGGTGTATCCTCGCTAGATATACGAACAATCGAAACAATCAACACAGGAAATTCCAACAGCTCCTCCAGTAAGCCTAAGCCCAAGAAGCGCAATGGCTAAAGAAGTATACATGTGATACCATCCTTGATGAAACCACATCATTGGTACCAACTCTGTTCATCGTAGGTGAATCCTTGCAAGCCTGCGCCATTGAGCGCCATGGCCCCAAACCCATTGACATTGGAATTGTTGGCATTGTCATTGAACCTCCCGTTGGGATATCCATTAGTAGCGGCTATGATGCCATCATCACCACCGCCACCCACCGGACCACCGTTAATCTCATTGCTGGTAATAGGAGCAACATTGGTCGTAGGCTGGAAGACCCCTGTGGAATTAGCTGTGCTGGCAAACCAACTTGCTATATCATCTACTCCTTGGGGGTTCCAATTTTCGAAATCAGTTGCAAGTTGTGTTTGATCGCGGTAGATCCAATCCTGCCCTTCGCGTAGAAGTTGATCAACACCACCAAAGAGCTGGCTTGGCGAGTTCCCAGCCGTGGTGTGGCCACCATCGACGGATCGGCGTCCTTGTGTCGAGGCTGGAGTAGGAGCGTTCAGGGTAGCCGAGTAACTCTGGGGCGTAGTAGGAGGTTGCTGAGTACGCATGTAAGCCAGAGCGTTTGGGTCCGAGGGAGGTAGAGAGTGGGTGCTAGAAGGACGGGCAGAAGGGTTAGAGCTTACGGAGCTATTGTTTGTTATGGCTGTTCGGTTATACAGTTGTGGTGCTGTCATGTTGGCCACGTTCATGCTGTATGGTTGTAGACTCGGTGAAGCCTGGTCCGCCGGTGAGGGATGCTGGTTGGTCTGTACAGACGCACGGCGCTGTGCTTTTGGAGTGCTGACCTCACTCCAGGGACCAAACTTGGCATCAGTACGGGAAAGCACCGTGGCAGCTTCTTCTGGTAGCTCGACGTTCCAGCGCTTTGCCAGTACGCTGAGGATTCCAAGTGTTCGTCGGGCGCACAGCCATCCTTCTGCTATCTCCTCCAGATGCTTGACACCGTGGATGATGTCGCGCTTTGCGTTCTTCTCGGGTAGGTTGAGAAGATGTATTGTGCACGCAGAGTGCGCGATATATACGCAGATATTGCATATCTGCCGCAGGCCATGTGATCGCTTGTATAACCGTAGTAGTTTGGAAATCATGGCAGCAGCCTGGGTACAGAGCTTTCGGGGAGAGACATGGGCAGGAAGTGGTGAATTGTTTGGGTTATATTTTAGGAATGGACGAAAGAGATGGATGTAGAGCAACTGAAAGAACATGCTACACGGTCGTTAGTACAAGTTGATAGCGACGGTGGATAAGGCTTACTGCATGACAAGCATATGGGGCAAGCCACCCTCTTTCGGCTCTAGCTCTTTCGGGAGCTCCCGTCTCCACGTCTCCAACCTCATGTGTATCTCACTGAGCTTCTTTAGCTCTGCTTGCCTTCCCTTGGCCTTATCCATGTCAATGGGGTTGTAGAAAGCATTCATCAGATCGCTAGAAATCTCACAGAGCTTTGAAATTTGGAGAGCAACTGCCCGCGTCCTACTAGGCTGCGAATGTGCTTGACTTAGACCAGAGTCTGTGACTGCGCTCCATGTCTCTGCATCCTCAACAGGGAAGACGTCGAACTTGGGTACTGTAAGAATCGTGTTGGGCAATTGAGGTAATCTCCCGAGGTAGTTGCTCCAGCACTTGTCGAACAAGAAGCAGCCCCAGAATGTGATCCTTCGTGCATCCTCCTCATTCTCATCGATGACATCCTTGCTATGCATGCCCAGATTGAGGCCGAGATCGCATGCCATCCGGAAGGACATGCCGCTGTACACCCAGCCCTTTGCTTCCCGCCCACAACCGGCTTCGCGTACGGACATCAAGGCCAAAGCCTGGACTGTGGTTAATGCAGGGACTTCGTGCAAATCATCCTCCATAATCAGTCGCTTGGCCTCCCTGAAGAAATGGTCTCCAGCCGTTGCTGAATCGTCGCGTATGGCTCTGGCACCAGGCCATGATGTGAAGTGACATCCGAGTGCCAGCATGGCATTGACCAGCAAGGGCGAGCAGTACTGATTCTTCCTTCCAGATCCCGGCAGCGGTTTGCCAAGCCTAAACTCCTGCAGAAACAAATTCTTCGATAGGGTTGTGAAGAAGCTATAGTGCCAGCAAAAGTACATGCTGATCAGATGCTGCACCAGCTCCGGGTCCGAGGTCACGGTAGTCCATGAGCAAAATGGGTCCTGCGTCTCTTGGAACTGGTCGTCCGAATACGTGTCGGGCGAGTCAACGGTGTCGTTGCCCTTGCCCAGGTAGATGAGATGCGACGTTCCGCCAATGTATCTTGTAGAACCATCCTCGAGCCGCAGCTCGCCCATCTTGCCACTCAGTTGGCTCTCAAAGCTTCCCTCTGGAGGCGCCGCTGCGGGCGGTGCGATTGGACTGAAGGGCTCATCGTCATCCTCTTCTCCATTTTCCTTGGCGATGATGGCCTCAGCGACCGAGTCGAGGCTCTCACATGTGCGGATTTGCTGGACTAGGTCTGCAACTGCTTCCTCGGGATAGTTGAGAATGGCTTGGATAAGGGTCTGGAGGGTTGAGTTGCGCGTTTTGAGGTTGTCAATGTCCTTTTTGTAGACGCCCTTGCGGCGGTGGTCCGAGTTCGGATCGTAGATGCATGGCGTGTTGTAAACGGCGGCACAGGCCGAGCAAGCTGGTGTAGTGCCGTCACACTGTTCCTCGGATTAGCGCACGGCTGGCGACAGGAGGCGTGAGAGCGACAAGGTTGGTGGGCATGCGGAGAAGGGGCATAGAGGCCGGAGAAAGGCAGTCGAGCAGAGCAGTTCCCGTTACCTAAGATGGCCTACATACCTTGGACTTGCGCTTCCTGCAAGGCACACAGGCGGAAGAAATGCACCTCCTCTTCTTCGAGTCGTCGTTCCCAGCGTCCCGTTTCCCTCGTCGTCCCTTCTTGGCGGGCGTATCCGTGGTCGGTGGTTGCGCTTCCGCTGTGCTGGTGTTCTCCATTACAGCTCTTGGGAGGTTTCCCGGAGATGCAAGATGCGGGGGGGAATGGTGGGGCGCGCGCTCCGACGGGCCCTTCAGTCAGCGCGCGACATTAATCAGCGGCCCGCGAAAAGCTGTGGGCTTGCCGTCCTCCACGCCTCTGGAAGTATTGCGCCCTCACCATGGCCGGCCAAGCAGGGGCGAGTAGTATGCGCGTGCAATCGATAGCACAGGTATCGCATGGGGGCGGGGAAGACGCGACGCCTGCCTTTGCCAAGCGCCATCGCTATCATCCCGCCTCTGATTGGCCGCCCCTCGCCTCTTATCTACACTCTCTCTCTCTCTGCACCCGCGCCCATCGGACAAACACGTCCATGCCTGCAGGAGGCGTCTGAGAAAAGAACAATGACGTGCCATGGCACGGCTACTGAGAAGGCATTTGGCTCGAATGAAACTTTTGTTGGCACCTGTCCGCCAGAGAAAGCCCAACTGCTGATAGGACAGCCTGAAGGTTGTAGGCAAAAAAGCAAGTCCATTCCGTCAATTAGGCTCCCGCACCACCCATGAAACTCAAGATCCATTTACGATCCAGACCCCTACGCCATCCTCCAAAATCAATTCTTCGCCCTCCAAGACTTGTCCTCATGGCCGCCAAGCCTACTCTTCCGGCAGCTCAATCTCTTCCTCCGCTCCATCCCTATGGTCCGCGAATAGGTTCATCAACTTTTCTAAATCCATGCTGCACACTTGTTAGTCTGAGAATATCCACAGTAGAAAAAACATACCCTCGGACCGGCTTGCCCCCTTCCTCCATCACGCATTCAATCTCTTCTTCTTTGCGTTTTTGAATGTTTATGATCTTACTGTCGATCGTCTGCTTAACACAAAAACGGGTCATGAACGTCTCTGTTTGTTGGCCAATGCGGAATACGCGACAGAAAGCCTGCTGCTCTCTAGCAGAATTCCACCAAGGATCAATAAAGATAACCTTCGAAGCCATAGTTAAGTTAAGACCCACTGCAACATCATTAATACATAGTTATGGCAAAGAGGCTGCCGTAGTCATGAGTACTTACAGCCACCACAGTGCATACTTGCCAGCATGATCTGAATATCACCTTGTTCGGAAAACGATCGAATGGCATTATCGCGAGCAGTAAAGCTCATCTTACCGTGGTACTGTATTGGTGGTCAGCAATTTGAATTTCCAGAGCACTTGACAACGGCTTCATCGGCATTCCTAGACTATCACGGATGGCTCAGTTGTATGTGTAACATGTTTCCACTCACCTGGACGCTGTTCCAACCTTCTTTCTGGCAAATGTGCCTTAAAATTTGAACCCTATAGCTTGTTAGCGCGGGTCCAGAGAATGTGCATCTGACCTACATAGCAAGAAACTGTGTATAAACAATGATCTTGACATTCGGGTTCTCCTTGATCCAGTTCAGAATCTGCGACTTGACTGCAATGGTCTTTGCAGAAGGTAGGATGTGGTCGTCTAGCGCGGCAAGCCAGTCGTCTGGAATAACCTCATTATAGGGACGTTTGTGCCCTTTGCCTTTCTTCTTGTTTTTCGATCCCGTGCCAGATGTAGGTACATCTTCCAGATCAGTTTCCACTTCGCATGCATGGACATAAGTGGGTATTACACCACAGCTGTTGCAAACTACATTCTCTTCCCCCTGCTCAGCCCTCTCAATGAGGGCTTCTGAGTAGCAGGGTTCGGCGCAAATAAAATGCCCACATGATATCATCATAGGATGTCGTGGTTTTTTTCCGCAGGTGCTACACTTGGCTGTTTTCTTAGCTCTTTCCCCGCTGTCGCCTTTTTGGAGACTGCTAAGAAAGTGTCCGAAGTTGTAATCTTTGCCAAACTCTCCACCGGCCCCGAGACGATGAGTTGACTGTGGTCCTTCTTCTTCTCGTTCATCAGTGATGCTATCCTGGTCTTGACCTCCGGCGTCTTTGTTGGCTTCCGGATGGGTGCACTTCTTTTTCTTCTTGTGATCTGCTATCATTTGAAGCTGCTTTCGAACTGCGATTATTGTGCCGCTATATTGAGCGTTACTATCAGCTGTATGCTGCTGAAGTACCTGTTCGATGCTTTCAAAATCTTCCTGCTCAAGGAGATCTTGCATGACAAATTGAAGCATAAGAATGTGGGCCGTTAGTTGGCGAAGTCTGAGATACAGCCTATATCTGTTAGTGATCCTAGCGACCAAATACGAAAAGTTTTGTTACGCACACCAGAATATTGTTGTAGGACTTTTCTGAGGTGCCACCCTTCATCGCCTCCATCCGCTCAGTGAAGCGTTTCTGAACAATGTCGTATATGCGGCGCTCAACTGGATTGAACTTGCACCAGTACGTGGCTTGATGAGCCTGAGGCAGCTTGAGAATCGGAGCTCCCATCATTTTATCTGAATGAGTACGGCGGAGCATAAACTGTGAGAGCCTCACCAAAAGCTTTTCTGGATTTTCGGGGTTGCAATAGTCCTCCTCGAAGTTGTCGAAGTTGTCGATAAGTGGAACACCAAGGAATTTGAAGTAAGGATACGTCTCAGTCAAGCTATTGAGTATCGGAGTTCCACTTAAAGCCCACTTGTGATCAGCCTGTAGTGCACGACAGGCGATTGATGTGAGCGACTGGTGGTTCTTGATGGCCTGGGCCTCGTCGAGAACTATGCGTAAGAAATGTACTCGGTGCAGGGGACCTCTTTTCTTTTCCCAGGTTTCCATCCACCAGGCCTCCTCCTCTTCTTTGTTTTTACAATCGCTCGGCGGCTTGTACTTGGGATGTGATCTCATCACCTCGGTGTATGTGGTGAGAACTATGTCATGGCCTCTCAGTATATCCAAGCATGCACTAGATTCCACACGTGTTCCAGTGCCGTAACGCATGATTCTCAACTCATTTGAGCTATGTTTTTCGATTTCGCTCTTCCATTGAGTGAGAAGTGCGGGACTGGCGACAATGAGGGTGGACTTGGGGCCTGGGCTATTCTTTGGTGGGCGACCATCATGGATGTTCGCTGTGAACAGTCAGCGCATTTATCCTGACTTTGTTGTATGCGATTACTCACCTAACGTCATGAGCGTTTTACCAAGTCCCATTTGGTCTGCCAGTATGCCCCCTCTTGGCTCTTCAGCGGCATTCTCTCGATCGCGCATCCACCCACTGCCTACGAGCTGATACGCCTTCAACGATGTCCTCATGCCCTTGACTGACCATAGATTTCCTCGGTCGGCGTCAGGTCTGACTGCGTTCCTGCTAAATTTCCTCACCGCTTTCGTCAAGCTTGCTATGTCATCTTTTGCCTGCTTCTCATCCTCAAGTGGTACACTAGCCAAAAGCTCTTTCATTGCCTCTTTCTGTTTTCTCGAGCTGAAGAACGGCTGCTCGGGTGCATCTAGCCGAGCTTGTTGGTCAAACACGTCTGAAATGAGTAGCGAGGAGGCTTGTTTGGCTCCATCGTTAACCATTTTCTGCTTCTTGTTCAAGCGCTTACCACTTTGAACAGCCTTAGAAATGGCCTTTGCTTCGTCCCATTTGTTCTTCTTCTTCTTCTTCTTCTTCTTATTGTTTAGGCCATCCCTACGAGCCTCGACTGCGACCATCATACTCTGGAGTTCTGCATCTTGCATACAAACTCTCTTGCGAGTGTGAGGTTGGACAAAGTCGGTATCAAAAGGCTCCTCTTCCTCAGCATCTTGCCCAAGATCAAGCGTAGGGTGTACAGCTAGATCCGCAGAATCGCCTTCTTGAGCCTTGGAAATATCATGCTCTCGTCTTTTCTTTCTGGATATTTCGTCGCGTTGTACCTTTGCCTTTTCGATTTCGAATTTGTCAGGAAGGACTCCATTTTTGGCCTTCTTTATGTCATCGTAGTACCGCATTTTCTCCTCGAATATTTCTGTTGTTCTCCTGTCTGTTTCATCATAGTAATCATCAAGATGACATGATTTAGCGGATGCCAAGGTGTGTGATAAGTTTGGCCCCTTTTGGATAGCCGTTGGTCTCTTCTCGTCTCTGAGTTTTTGCTGTCTTCTGCGCATCCTATCACGAAGTTGGGCAGTAGATATAGTCAGAACTGGCTTTTGGGGCGCTGGAGATGGTAAATCCGGAGGTGCAATCGCAGTGTCTAGGGAAAGCTGTCTATAGGAGTTACCTAGTGGAGTGGTATCGCTTTTTGGGGTGGAAAATGGGTCTGAGTTTTTTGATAAAGCAGAGTCAACCTCTGATATTGACAATGACTCGGAGGTGCTTGGTGCAGTCGGATCATTCTCTGAGACAGCCAATGGTCCAGAGTTGCTCAGTGGAGTGGGTTTAATTTCTGGGACGAATAATGAGTCGGGATCTTCAGGTGGGATAGGATCGCATTCTGAACCAAACAACGAGTCAGAATCTTGCTGTAGATGTTCTTCTGCATGAAAGGGTGGTGTATTGATCTCGTGCTGAACTTGTTCATCAAGATCGATCATGGCCTCGTCGCCAACCTGCGCGGTTTCCGGAACTGGGGCTTGCATTCCAGTCATTTCGCTGTCGTCATTGGCCTTTTTGGGTTCACTCATAATGACTTAAGCAGTCAGTTTTGGTGAAGCGATAATGTACGAGCGTGAGATGGGTGTTTCAATAATACATACCGCTGTGTGGATGAGACGTGAACACGAGGGGTGATGGAGCTGCTCTCGCAGATTGGAGTACGCACAATGACGGCTGTTAAGTAGGCTGAGATACCTTGTAGTGGTAAACTGAGAAGGATGGGTATGGGTGTGGGAATTGATAGAAGTAGTCCTGGTAATCAACCAGGCAAGGAAGAAGAGGCGTGGTATGATAAGAAAGAGGTATAGTATGAGAAAGAAGTTCAGTATGAGAAAGAAGTTCTAGAAGTGTTGTGATAAAGTAGAATAGATGGTGTGAGAAAGAAGAAGTGTGTGTGGTCAAATAGAAAAGGTGGTGTAAGAAAGAAGATGACTTATGGTGAGGTAGCAAAGATAGTTTAAGAGAGTAGAAGATAGACCCAAGCATACTGTGGAGCAATTGATATAGGGTGCAGCAGCTGCGGAGGTGAGAGTCTACAAGCGTCTATGCTAGTGGGTTCATAAGAGGAGGTGAGAGTTGAGGTGAGAAACTTGGGATGGAAACCATAGTTTGCAAAGGTGCAGTGTAGTACACTGAGCGGCTCTGGCACCTGACGTCTACGGGCAAAAATTGATGCATGTAAGTGAGAGACAATGTATATGCTGGTGTGAGAGAATTGGAGTGATAGATAGTATACCAAAGTTAATGATGATACATATATGATCCTTGATGTTGTGCTGTCCCCAGACCAGTGAGGCAGGTGCCGTTGAATTCATAATGGCAGGCGCTCCCCTCTCCTCCAAACATCACGATGACCATTACAAAGCTGCAAAAGCATTGGGCCACGACGGTAGAAATTATACGTTATATTCATCTCAACTAAGTGCTTGCCTGTTGAGGATATCAGGGTATCGAGAGTACTATTGACGTGACAACTACAATTCCCGCACATACTGCAAGTAGAAAAACAAAACTCCTTAATCGCCAACTTTAATCGAACTCCCACCCAGTATGCATGTGATGAAGAAACAAAAAAAAGGTCAAAAGTATTAAACAGAAAGTATCTAGCACTGCTCCTCATCAAGGTTGGGGTAGAACCAGGCTGCAAGAGCAATGATGACATAACTCGCCATGAGTAGAACGCCTTCAAGCCAATCTGCATCTTGTTAGCAAAGTGTCCAAGTTGCATGTTGGATAAAGCGAACTTACGTGACTTTCCGTCTTGAATCAGGTAGTTTACAAGCAACACCGAGACGAACAATGTAGCAATTTGGAAAGTGTCAAAGTAAAGGGTCATGCAGTCCTTGCCCAAGATCCACCCGAGAATGACGATCAGAGGGAAAACAAGAAGCGCGATCTGCATACTGGAACCGACAGCAACACCAATGGATAGATCCATCTTATCCTTGATGGCGACAGTGACAGCAGTGGCGTGCTCGGCGGCGTTACCCACAATGGGAAGCAGGATAAGACCAACGAAGGTGGTGGAGATATGACCAGTAGCAGTAAGACCATCGATACTGGAGACCATGAATTCAGAACAGAAAGCAACGAGGGTAGTAGAGATGGCGAGAGTAATGAGAGCGCCAATGATAGAGAGCGATGGCTCTTCGAATTCATCTTCGTCTTCCTCCTCATCCGAGTTTGGGTTCTTGAAAAGTGTGGTCATGTTGACGCCGCCTCCAGATGCTGCGGCAGTACCAGCGCCAATGGCTGCAATGCCGCGCGATGCATCGCCTTCTTCCTTTTTCCCGGACTTGCGCTTGGGCACCTTTTGACTGGGCTCGTTGTACATGGTGGAGTGTGTCTTCAACTGGAAAGCGAGGTAGCAAGCGTAGACGAGGAGAAGAATGACGGCAGTTCCGTGAGATAGCTCCTGGTTCCTGACGGCATCTTCGCGACCGTTGTGTGCGACTGCGTCATCTTCGGCAATTGTGTTGTGAAACACGGTCGGAATGATGAGGGATGCGATACAGAGAGCAAGTAGCGATGCTGCTGTCTGAGCCACAGTCACGTTGAAGAACTGTTCCAGGCGGTTGATACCTCCGAGAAAGAAGGACATGCCCAAGACAAGCAGCAGGTTGGACAACATACTGCCGATGAGCGAGGTCTTGACAATGGTGATTTCGTTCTTGAGCAAGGCTTGGACCGATACGATGAGTTCGACAGCATTTCCAAAAGTAGCGTTGAGGAGACCTCCAAGAGTTTCTCCAACCCGAATGGCCAGTTCCTCGGTGGCATTGCTCAGCATGGCGGCGAGTGGGATGATGGCAATGAAGTTGATGATGAAAACAGGCACAGGTTTGAGCTTCGCGTAGTAGACAGCAAAACCGACGGGTACCATGATGAGAAGGACGTTGATCCAGGCACCAAACAAGACAAAGCGGATTTGGGCGCCGATGGGAATCTTCCTCTTGAAGGCCTTCTTCTTGCGCTCTTCCAAGGATAGTTCATCTCCTTCAGGGGCGCCCAAGTCGGTGTGGTCTTGGTCTTCGTGCTCTTTCCTAAAGATGCCTTTGAACTTTGCTCTGCGGGTAGGGCCAACGTTCTGCTCCTGGCTGGAGGGTGCAAGAGTGCTATCGACTGAAGCCTTGTGCGCGGTGTCTGGTTCAGTTGCGCCATCCTTGTCAAGCGAAGGATTTGGAGCAGCGGTTGAAGCAGTCGCATGTGTTGGCGATGAAGGGGCAGGCTCGGTGTTGTGGTGGTCTGGCATTCCAAACTCTTTCTCTGATTGCATGGTCTCGAGGCGCCTTTGCTCTTCAAATCCCGATGTTGCATTCGCCTCGGATCGTGATCTATGCATTACGTTTTCCACATCATAATGAGAATCTCGAGAGCGCTGTCGAGCGAATGGGTTATAATTATTAGTTCCATTGCTGCCATGTTGCGAGGCAACGCGATGGGCCTGCCTCCGTACGCTGTCTGCATTGGGTATGAGTTAGTGTGGAGATTCGAGTGGTGCTGGGGTTTGTGCTGATGATTCGGGCACGGGGCTTCACCTACGCATGAATGCAGATGTACTGTCTCTGTGTGGGTCGGGGTCAGAGAAGGCGTTGAAAAGCAAGTGTCGATGTGGTGTTTGGGTTTGCGAAACCAAGAGGCGGGTGGAGGGAAACGAGAAAGGGAGAAAGGGACCAAGGAGAGATAATAAGTGGCCTGCCCTGCTTTGACGCGAAAGACAGCGCACGCCCGCTCGCGTCAGTGTTGTGGCTGGAGTACAAAGTTGGCGAATAAAGAGCGTGGAATGAATGCTCTAGCCACAGGTCAATTTGGCCACACTGCCATTTTGTGGGAGGTCGCTGAGGCTGAGTCGAATAGCGCGGGCGAAGTTGCACTGCGCCAGTCGAGCTGGCGCGAGAACCGACTACCATCATTTGCTACCATGTGCATGTCGCATGCAATGCGCGAAGCTCAGCGTCATCATGTTCAAGCCTTCCAAGGACTGTCCCAAGCTGCCCTTGGCTACGCCTCAAGCCTTGCAGAGTGTCTGGGCGATGACGCAGGGGCGTGGCGCTTATGCACGATCCAGATGCCTAATTGGCTCTTCGGCGATAGGGTGCGCGCTGCCATCATTGTCCCAAGTCCTTATGTTTGTAGTGTACACGCCGACGCTGCAATAATAAGCCTGGAGAAAGCTTGCTTTTCCTCACCGCACTGCAACACGGCTTCCAGAACATCATCCGTACCCATCTTGATCCTCAGCAAAGTAGAGGCGCGGGATATGCACCTCCCTGCACTAACAGCGTTCCACCAATAGGCGAGCGAACATCCTGTGCGATTAATATGCACTGTTTCCATCCAATCTTATGTCTATGACTCTTTATGTATTCTCTGAAACCCTGGACTGGTGCCCATAGGATGTTCACTGCAAACATCAAACTGCAGCATGTTTGTTTCCCGAACCTAT